TAAATAAACAGGAGAATTTCCTTTTAGGGCTATTACAGGAAGAAAAAACATGGACAATACTTTTATCTATACCCCACCACACATAATTCTTATTTTTATTTGTTAAAGAAGTTTATAATATGCTTCATTCCTATTACTAGTACTCAATAAAAAAAATAAAATCATGTTGTAATTCACCATCCCATGCATTTTTTACTGGAAAAGCCCTAGTTAAAACTGAATGACTTCTTTAAATAAAAAAAAGTATTTCCTTGAATTTATATGTGTATATAAACGTATATTATACCAGCTTTCACATTATTTTTATACATTCACTTTTAACAAGGAAATAGTACATCAAAGATACATTTTTGTTATGAACAGGAAAATATTTCGTTTTGATTCGTAAGAGAGGAACTACATTTTATGCTAACATTGAAGACGTACATTTGTAATATGAATATTACTGATACCACCAACAACATTACATTGTCAGAATGGAACGACGAAATAACAACAAGCTTAATACCAAACATTATCGTACTTTTTGTTTATCTGGTTCTTGGGATATGTGGAAATGTCCTTGTTTTGTTGGTGTATACGTATCAGATAAAGAAGCGATCAGATGAAAGATATTTCATACCAATTTTAGCTGTATCTGACCTAATAGCAACATTCTATATCGGATCATATAGTATATTTCAGTGTATACATCAAGTTAACTTCTCCAACGATATATTATGTAAGGCAGCACAATTCTTTGTAGGACTAAATACTTTCATTCCAATCATCATCTTAATGATTATTGCATTTTAACGGTATGTCAAAATATGTATGCCTCTGAAACAGGCAATGACACCTTCGATGAAAACAGCTTCATTGTCATTTGCAATATTGCTTTCTATATTAATTGCATTACCCTTGCCCTTTGTATACGGTGTGATTCCTTACAAGAGTACAGACAAGACAATCACAGGAATGCGATGTGGAAGGATTAAGGAAGGCCGTGTTCTGATAAGAATTGTATATGCCATTGTACTTGGCATACTTGCGATTGTTATAGTAACAACACTTACTGTGCTGTATTCAAGAATTGGATACGTTGTATTCCGAATTTTCAAAACTAATAAACAAACAAGTACTGGTCAAAATGACGACACAGAACAAGAAAAACATGATGGTATCAGTAATGATGAGATAGACACAATGGAAACCTCCGCTGGCGAAGAAATCCCAGAAATGTCAACTTTTCAACATACTCAGCAGAATATCGAAGAGCAACAACATGTTAAAAATTTTCGTCTTTTTCTGGACAAACTGGATCACAAAAAAGAAGAAAAAATAATCGCCGGATTTCACATAAACTGACAGTTGTGTTTTTTATCATTACTGTAGTATTTTTACTTAGTTATATACCGAAAATAATACTAATGATTATTGAAGGGATATACAAAAACTTTTGGGAAACATTACCAACAACAACAAGACCTGGTGCGATGTTTGTTTACCACATATTCATTGTAAATAATATTGCGAACCCTTTCATCTATGCTTTTATGGATAAAAAGTTTCGTGATGAAACAAAAACGTTTTTGAAACGTGCATTTAGCAAAATATGTAAATTGTAACTCTCAAAGACTTAATTGGTAAAGAAAACAATATTAAAACTATGGTTAAAGATGTCATATAAATATAAGAAGATGTGTTATGTCAATATACATGTCAGCAAACATTCATAGTGTAAATACAAACAATTTCCCTGTTTGGGGGGTAAAATGTGTTTCATGTTATGAACAATATTTGAATTAGTGAAAAAAACATTGCTAAGTCAGAGACAGTTTTCAGCAATTGTTCTATAAAGTTTTTATTCATAAAACGTTTTGTTCTTGTTGCTAGATATTTCAGTGTGTAAAATTTTACTTGGAACGTTTTATTGAACTTCTATACTACTAAAGGAAGAGACAGATTTCATTGAGCCGCAACTCCTCTGAAACCATACAGAGTTAGAAATATTTGTGATATGACGTATAAATGTAGTGGTTTGTACTTCCTAAACTTGTCTTTTTTCCACAGAAAACGCCAATTTTTAGTAAATATCCAAATTCGGAGACTGTTATCGATCCGTGCCTTATACGCTTTCGCGCATGCCCAGTCGACGTACTGCCCGCGAAATCCAAGTGAAAGTAAGAAGAAAGGATAGAAAATAGGGCAGTTAGGCCTATAAGGATCCTGTATTGTATTGTAAGTGAATCATTTTGCTAAATTAAACGACATCCACCCTTTTTACTCAGGTGCAGAACTTTCCAAAAATTAAATGGGCGTTGAACGTGTCGAAGTGATCCTCACCCTTTTTATGTGTAAACACAGGCACCCGACGTCCGGATCCCTCACCCTTTTTATGTGTAAACATAGGCACCCTTGACACTCTTTGTTTCAACAATTGCCAAATTGTACCGCGATTTCGCGGGCATTTTCTAGTATAATATATTTTAGCTTTTTTAAAAGCTTCTGAGTGCTTCGCTGTATCATACTTTCCGTTAAGATGTGGTTATTTAAGTATGTGAAAAGTGTTATTTCTTTCCTTTGTGCATAGACCTATAAGCGTGGTATTTTAAGCCCGTCTTAGTAATTTTTGACGCAATAATTATTTGCATATGGATATCATCATGCATGTATTCCATCACAATCGTTTTACTAACTTGTTACTAGATGCCTACTTAATATGTCAGATCATTGTCAAAACAATTCTGATGCTCAATTCGGGAGATCAGTTGCAATTATATATATTTTTAGTATTGGTGTATATGCTCAAATAGTCAAATGAACACTTAGAAACTTGTTCATCTTAGTCCCTCCTTTTATTTATTAATTTGACGCGACATTGTAAAGCAAGGTATTAAAGCACTAAAGACAACATTATTTATTGACCGAGTATCGGATCGGATCCTGAATACACAAACTGTAATTTTGTCCATATTCAATATCTTCTCCTTTTCCGGGACTTTTTCTCACAATTCTGTATCTCATTCTGGCTAATAGAATCTTTCCCACACCATAAGGCAACCAATGAGAACCGATATGTTTACGTAATAATTTCAAGATGGCGTGAATATCGTATGAAACTAAAAGTTTTTCACCGTGATGCGAAGTAATAATTCTTGGAATCTTCTGATTTTTTTTTGTCTTCATTAGCATAAATCTAAGGATGTGTTTTGTTTCATGATATCTTCAAAGAGTAAATCAGATGACTCCTACATACTATCAAATAAATGAATTAAGTTTCAGATTTGTAAAGGGATGGAAATTAATCAAGGTAATGTAAATCAACATTTCCGACAATTACCTAAAATGAACGAATTTATACAAAACAAGCACATTAAAATGTTCATAGAATGTTAACAGTTTTGGTTGAATAAATTACTGCCTAAGTAAACAGATCAGCATGAAAATATTTAGAGAAGCACTTCCAATCGTATTTTCTTTTTGATTTCAATAAGGCCAAACAAAAATGTATACCTGTTTCCAGCCTCTGTGCAGTATAAAAATGAAAGACAGGTAGGCTAGTAAATCATTGTATTTCTTTTATATATTTTACATAAATATATAAGGAAGTGATCTGTTCTTTTAAGATATTTAACCAAAACGTCTGGACTTAACAGTGATTAATCCTAAAATCTACAAAACCTGTTATGGTAGACATAACAATTTCAGGTAGATAGAGAGACAAGAAACAAAGCTATCTTATTTGCATGAAATATATTCCTGGCATTTGCATGAAATTTACCGAATTTTTTCGGAAAAGGAGAGAAACAAAACTGATTATAAGTAAACAAAGACTGATATAGAGCGTTGAAAAAAAAAAACCCGATCTCTTGTACCGGCCACGTTATGTAAACAATGATAAAACAAAAATATACTTAAACCGGATTTTAAGATAACGAACCAGTTTTAATTAGTTTTCCAGAAATTTAATCTATTTTCATTTGCTGGCAAGAAATTATTTTATCATGTTTATCAGGAAATAAATCTTCGATAAAACAGATAGTCACTGAAAAAAAAAACAAATATTTTCTCCTTCCTTTTTCAGATCAGTCGGTAGAAAAGAAATTACGATCTTATAATAAGCTATCGTAAATCTATGACAGACAAAATCTGGAAATATTCTCAAATCAAAAACAACAATGAGTCGAAAGCAACGTATAACAGTTGGGGATCCACAATTTTAACAGTGATTAACCCTAAAATCTACAAAACCTGTTATGATAGGCATAACAATTTAAGGTAGATAGAGAGACAAGAAACAAAGCTATCTTATTTGCATGAAATATATTCCTGGCATTTGCATGAAATTTACCGATTTTTTTCGGAAAAGGAGAGAAACAAAACTGATTATAAGTAAACAAAGACTGATATAGAGCGTTGAAAAATAAAAAAAAAAAACCCGATCTCTTGTACCGGCCACGTTATGTAAACAATGATAAAACAAAAATATACTTAAAACGGATTTTAAGATAACGAACCAGTTTTAATTAGTTTTCCAGAAATTTAATCTATTTTCATTTGCTGGCAAGAAATTATTTTATCATGTTTATCAGGAAATAAATCTTCGATAAAACAGATAGTCACTGAAAAAAAACAATATTTTCTCCTTCCTTTTTCAGATCAGTCGGTAGAAAAGAAATTACGATCTTATAATAAGCTATCGTAAATCTATGACAGACAAAATCTGGAAATATTCTCAAATCAAAAACAACAATGAGTCGAAAGCAACGTATAACAGTTGGGGATCCACAATTTTAGAAAAAAGTCACAGATGATAAAATGTGTAACATTAACAATACTTTCTTGAAGTTCTTCATAATCATGATAATGGAAGGGGACACAGTCTTGTTTTTTTTTTCTTTTTTTGAAATGGCGTTGTCAGTTTATTTTCGACTTATGAGTTTGAATAGCCCTTTGTTATCTTTCGCCTCTCTTTTAAAATTTACATTTTCTATAAAACAAAAATGAAGAAACCGCAATTATAAAATGTTTTTTAATAATCACAAAACCGGAATAAAGCTACAAATGCTAATATCTGAAAAATAGAATAAAAAGATATTAAAACATCATCGAAAAAAAATCACATGGACGGAATAAAAGAAATATAACCTAATTGAATGGACGGAAGAAATTTACCGTTTCAAAATGTCGATAACTAATTTGGTAAATTTCATTAGTATTGATCAAAAGTTTGAAAAATGTTTTGTCACTGGTTTGAATTATACTGTTCTGTCTAATATTAACTTCAACAACAATTTGGTGAACACTTCTAAAATATATATAATAACACAAACTTCTCCTGAAACAGTCCATTATGTAAAAAATAGCATTACTAAGTTAGGTACAAAATTGAAAACAACACGTTTAATTATTTCATGCGTCCGAAGCGCTTTTCTGGATTTACCTTCATCAGGAACGCTCAAAGCCAAACATTTGAAATCCGAGGGATGTATAAGTACCGAAACAGTTGAAGAGCTATATGACAAAAATACCTAAAACAAATAGCCAATTCCATCTAAGGTCAACTTTGCCTGAGGGAGTTGAAACCTTAGTTTCATTATAATTTCAAAATTTATAAACGGACAATTTTAGAAAAGTTTGTTATAACAATGTATAAATCATGTCAGTACCGAAGTACTGACTACTGAGCTGATGATACCCTTGGGGACTGATAGTCCACCAGCAGAGGTATCGACCATGTAGTCTTTAAAGTTCCGATAGTAGACCCTTGATTAGTGAGAAAAAAAAGCATAAACTAAAACCACAGAACTGCGATCGATGTTGCAATAATTTCCCCATCATTAAAAAAGACAGAAAATCATAATCGCAAATAGTAATAACAGTGCTTGGTAGACCACAATTCGAAATTAAATATATAGTGAAATGGAAATCTAAAAAGCATAAATATATGCATCCCCTGAAAAAAGAACCCGATTGACAAACCAGGCTTGCCCTAATATGTCATTTATGTATAAATATAGATAAATTGAGCGATTTGCTACATACATCATCAAACTTTTCTTAAATAGTTTATAAGGAAACACTTAGGTTAATAATTGATTAAATGTCCTTGTTGTCACTATTTGCAAGTAAGGAGAACATAGCTTCAAGAAAATTGACAAATTTAAAGTATTTATAAACCAATAATCACGATTTAAAATAATTGATTGTTATTTGAAAAGGTTTAACTTACACATTTTGAATACGGTTTTCTTATTTTGTTAGGCGTTGAACAGGTGAGGGAATCGAACAAACTCAAGCATGAATTCAAAACTTTGAAATTTACCACACCGTTAGGAAAGGGTTGTCAAATACTTGAAATCTTAACCTGGCGTGTTAAATACAAGGACAGTAGCATCAAATAATACAAATAAAAATAAACAAATCTCAAATAAAGACAAACATTATGGTGGCATTCCAGTGCTGTTCTTCAAGATTAATTAAAATATCTCTGTTCCATTATTTAATGTCCATTATATAGATTGTCATAGCGCACAAGGTAAGTATGAAAATATTTTAAATACTAATTGCTTCATTTTGTGTCACACTTTAAGTTTTTGATAAAGTGTCTAATATTCATGACTCCGATATATATTTTCAGAATTCATCATGTGAATCGTCCATAGCATCAAACGATTCTTTCTTTGGTTTCTTTTTCTTCCTTCTTCGTCTTTTCTTTTTCACTTCTGCATATTCTGTATACCCTATAGGGGGTAATGACTGTCTTCCGGGTGTACCCATTCCAGATGGCTTAGAAATGAGAGGCACACTTTTGAATGTCGATGCATACATATTCAGTTCTTCTCCTTGATACGGCGTTTTACTGACCTCTTCGTTTTCTGTTTGAAACCTGGAATGAGAATTATAGAGTGTGAAATGGTTAATAACAATAATTGGTGTATTAATGCTACAGGTGAAATTTCCTCTTACTGTCTTGGATATTACGTTGTTATAAGTTTCATAATGAATAAATAAATAAATAAATGAAGAGAACCGATCTTTGAGCATATTGCTATTAAATAAGTACATTATTGGCCAACACAAGTATCTGGATATCAACATTGATCATTTTAAGTGCAGGGATACTGACTAAAACTTGGTGTTTAACTTCTCATTAAACAGTTATATACCTAAAACCATGTCAATTGATCTCCTTATACAAATATCTCATTTAACAGTAATATACCAAAAACCATGTCAATTGATCTCCTTATGCAAATAAAGTGCTGAAGATAGGTAATTATTAGACGTTTGTGGTTCAAGGTGTACTTTCATAACACAATAATAATAACTTGGGGCATACATGAAATATAATATTAATGCCTTATCTTTAAAAAAAACATCGACTAAACAAAGTAAACAAAATGGCACTGGTATCAAAATTGATCTTTAAGTTCTAATAACGTGGCGACACAAATAATATATAAATATTAACCAGTTTGTGAAAAAGCTGAAAACTTCAAAATGCATTCAATTTTTGCCGTTGACTCAGTGACTGAATAATTTCAGACAACAAAAAGCGAGCGAAGTTGATACTTGAACGAATCATAAAGTAAACAGCCTCGTTCATCTTCGACGTTAGGTATTACAAAAATTTGAAAGCAATTTTTACATTTTGAAAATTAAAAAAAAAATCAAATGGTGAGACATGAATGATTAACCTTTCGTACATGCCTCGAAATTTACCTTCGTTAAAAGAATATTTTGAGTAAAACAATTGCTATTAATATGTATTCCTCTGACAAGATGACCTGCACTTACAATGGCTGATCAGAAGTCTCGTAAGGACGCCATGATTTAACTTGAAAGTGTTCTTCTGGAACTGGACTAGTGCTGCAATATATATCAAAACATTAAATGAATTTAGGATGTCAACACTATAAAAACTTAACAAAAAATATCATGTCATCGTTCATTTTAAAAAATTCTAAAACAAATGAATCAATTTTAGTTGTTAAAGCGATTTTAGTAGAACCTGGAAAAAGACAAGACAACTATTGCAGTAGGGAAAACGAATCTTTCTGACATAACCGTCATCACATTTTCTCGCAGACTAAAGTAAAGGACGCTGAATACATAAAACGCGTTAAAGCACAACAAAAAACTAAAAGATCCTGGACGGGACTATATTTTGATAGTCTGTAAACTCAGTTTAAGAGTCGAAACGTAAATTGTCCTACACAATAAACCGAAACATGACAATCAATAAGTATTTTTTTTTTCAAATGAAGAATCAAAGAGCTCTAACATAATCGAAAAAGAACATCATAACGGCAGAATACATTGGAATCAGCGTAGAAGATATTAATAAGCATCTATATGTTTTTTTCAATTTAAATTATCATTCCTAGATTAAAGGTAATTAGCTTTAAATAGACGTCTCCGGACCTGCATATTACTGATAACATTGTCTTATTTATTATAGTTAAAACAACTATAACACAACAAAACTTCTTAGTTCAAAATAATAAAATAATTGTTTGCACCTTGCAATCATGCCACCAGAATTACTTTTGTTGCCAATTTTATTGATTCGTTTTGTTTGTATATAACAACAAAACGCTAAATATAAGGCAGACATCACTATTCCAGGAATAAGCGCCACTCCTGTTAATCCTACTGTAGCTCCTGAAATGTATCAAATTGACAATAATAAAAACTAATACAAATAAATGAATAATTCTTTTAAAATGAAGCTAACTTGTCCATTAAACTACTTTAAATTACAGTTTAGGTAGGCGAAGGTATGCTGGTTGCAATTTTTTTAGTTTGAGTAATCTGATTGTTGTCATTGTCCATCTTCTAAAACCGATGGTGTTCCTTGTTTATTAGCGGTTATTTGTGTTTATAGCATCCTAGTACAGTATATGTAATTGACTAACCATTTTCTTTAATCTTTTGAGATTTGATGAATCAGAAACAGATATGATAAAAATATGAATTCGCTATCCAGACGTTAAGAATAAAAAGGAAATATTCTAATATCTTGATCTAGAGCATCAATGAAGAGACATAAACTGTAGAAATGCGAACCTGGTGCAAAAACAATTCGTACCGTTAATGTTATTATCACAAGTTACCCGTGAAATAGTAATAGTCCCGTTCCCAAAGGTTTTAGACAATCAAACCCATGTAAGGTTTTGATTAGTCGAAATATTCATACAAATTAAGAGGATCTGGTATCTAAGAATTATCACACTGAATATTTTACCTCATCATAAATAGTTACCCATTTCATATTTTTAAGGAATGGAAACTTTCATTCAAAATTGAAGATGATCAGGCAAAAAACAAAGGCTGTATACCTGCGTTGCTTGGGGATATATTTGAAATATCCTATTCATTATTCCTGACGAGCAATTTAACAAATCTAACGTTGTTGATGAATTCCACAGTCACGTTCTTGTAAGCATATCTATATATTTTAACTATTACAGTTTGTTTAAAGACACAGTTATTGAAACACCAATTCACTGAATGATATGTAATCTATACATGATGTTTATACCATATTCCAAAACATGTAATATTTTGTTGTTCTGGACGTTTATAAATGTAAAAAAAACAACGTCACGCTGAACTCAATTTACAACGAAAAATGTCCATAAACATAGTAAACTACTTTTGGAAAATTCTTTCGTTTTGTCAGCACCTGAATAGCAGCACAATATCAAGAAGGATGGAAGAAAATATGATAAACAATTTTCATTAAGAAAACAAAACTTATCACTTTAAAAAATCATTCTTATTTAGTTTAGCATATTAAACATAAAATCATACCAAATACCATGTCAATGTATGCATACAATGCTGATATGAAGGAAAAATACTTGTTTGGCTTTTTAACTATTTTGATCTGAGCGTCACTGATGAGTCTTATGTAGACGAAACGCGCGTCTGGCGTATCAAATTAAAAACCTGGTACCTTTGATAACTATTGTCATTATTTAAAAAAAAATCGAATAGTTATTATGGTAAAAAAGTAAAGTTGCCACCAACTGATAGACGAAACGAAAGATAAATGGCTCTCTTCCTAGATTTATTATGAAAATAAATAAAGAATGTGTCCATGGGATACAGATGATGCCCCCGCATGAATATAACGTTATAAAGATAAATAATTAGAGAACTGTAAAACGAACGTAATCTGTGTTTTGTGGTAATAAGCATTGTGTATAAGTTTCATAACATTTGGTTGGGGCAAACTAAAGTAAGAGAACGGAAACGACATATTCAGCATTTTTTCCCTTAATAAAGGGCATAACTCCTGAAAGGTAAAAGTGACGCCACCAAAATTAGAACTTGATCTGAGTTTTCTTGGTAATAAGCATTGTATATAAGTTTCATAACATTTGGTTGAGGCAAACTAAAGAGAAAGGAAACTAATTTCGGTACGCACGGACGGACGTACAGATGGACAAGGGTAAAGCTTAATGCCACCTTCTGCTATGGCAGGGGCATAAAACTGGTCAATATTTGTTTTTGCGTAATAAAAATGAAATGATATAGCAACATTCACTGGTCTCATGCAAGTAATCGGAAGGAATCAGATGTCGTTAATATTGCATGTTTAAGTTTGAGTTAGTATCCTTTGAAATAAAATTTATTTTCTAGGTAGCTAAAATCATTTCTATAATCATTGTTGCATTATATTTCGTTTTTAGGCAGTTAAAAAAGAGAAGCTGCCTGATGCGAGCACCCTAGATTTGTGTTCTACCCAATAAATGCTGAAATACCTGCCATTGTTATTATCTAGCTGACAATTACGTTATTTATAACTAATTGGACATTTTTTTAATACTTTTATTTCTGGAATACAAAAATTATGACCAGAAAAACCTTTAATGATCGTCGAACTACCCAAAACTTTTGAAGTTGCACATAGGAAGTAGTGCTCAATAGAAATCCGTACGTAGTTTATTATCCCCTGTGCTTTTGGCTACGATGTCAAAGAACAATTGTATGAAATATTTCATCGCCGAAAATCGGTAATTACAAGTCTTTATATTTCCCAAATGGCAAAATGCGCAGGAATATTGTTCATGTACAACAAATCTCTATGATAGAGGAAATAAAGTTATATAAGTGGGCGGTAATTTTTAACTTTTCTTGCCAAATAAGGTTGTTGTTATTTTATGAATGAAACGAGGTCATGAAACAGATGCGGAAATCGACGTTGATGGGATTTTTAAGTAATGTGGACAACTCGTCCCTGAGACAAGTGGGACCAAATCCACTCAAACCGTATAAGAAGACAATCGTTTGTCAGATTTACTTAGGGTTTCATAAAATATTAGACTTACATGTCTAGCGGAGCCATTAACCTTTTGTTTGTGCTTTGGGGTCTATTTAGGGGTATTTGGAGGGGCCTGAAGAATGGAGGGGTTTACTGTAGAACCCTATGGGATTTTATTTTTTAAATTTTAAATGACTATTTCTCGAAAACAGTAAGTGATAGACACATGCAGTCTTCAGTAATGAGAACAGGACAATAAAAAAATCAACCAAAATATAGGGTGAGTCCCTGGGGGTCATCCCAACCCCCTTCAATTTGAAAATGTACTTTTATCTTGTAAACCGTCGCGATCCCAATATATATACTTGTATGGGACAATAAAAGAAATCAAATGAAAATAATTTGGGGGAGTCCCCGGTGTCGTCCCACCCCCTCCAGTTTGAGAACTTGGAAATGGTCGAGATCCCCACCCCTAAACCATATATATTCATGTATGGGACAATAAAACAAATCACATGAAATATAGGGGGAGTCCCGAGGGTCACCCCACCCCCTCCTGTTTGAGAACTTGTAAACGGTCGAGATCCCACCCCTAAACCATATATATTCATGTAAGGGACAATATAACAGATCAAATGAAATATATGGGGAGTCCCTGGGGTCACCCCAACCCCTCCTGTTTGAGAACTTGAAAATGGTCGAGATCACCACCCCTAAACCATATATATTCATGTATGGGACAATAAAACAAATCAATGAAATATAGGGGGAGTCCATGGGGACACCCCACCCCCTCTTGTTTGAGAACTTGTAAACAGTCAAGATTCCCACCCCTAAACCATATATATTCATGTATGGGAATCAAATGAAATATTTGGGGAGTCCCTGGGGTCACCCCACCCCTTCCTGTTTGAGAACTTGGAAATGATCGAGATCCCCACCCCTAAACCATATGTATTCATGTATGGAACAATATAACAAATCAAATGAAATATAGGGGGAGTCCCTGGGGTCACCCCACCCCCTCCTGTTTGAGAACTTGTAAACGGTCGGGATACCCACACCTAAACCATATTTATTCCTGTTCATCATTTCAAAAATATTTGAATGACATACAGGGTCAATCTCCTAGGTGTCACATATGCCTATCACTTTACTAGACCAAACCAATATGAACTGGACTTTGCCCAATGTCAGGAGGCCATGGGAATGACGAATTATGGAGGCTTTGTTTGGGAGACTTCGTAACGGTATCCTGTTACAATTATTTCCTGTTTATTATAAAATTTTATTGATGCAAAAAATGAGTCAAGGTTAATTGAATTTACTTTAATTATTTATTAAATTATTTCTGGGCCTATAATCATGATAATAATTTTCATTTATGACTCATTTTAAAGAAAATATATAAATCTTTCAAGCAGTGTAAAGCTCGAGAATGTTTGACCAACAGTTTTATAATCACCTGTCATTTTATTCCGAACTTGGTATGGAGTAACAGCATGCACTTGGGGTGAAGATGGGGGTCATTTACATTGATATAAGAGTTGCTTTTGAAAACCTTGATGAAATATTATTTTATTTGCCTTAAAAATCAATTCATTTAATGAACATAAATGTACAATATACGAATGTTTAATGTTTGTTCTTTCAAATCTTAAAAAAAAAAAATTGAGGCAACACTGCCACAGTTTTCATAATTACGTTTGCCTTGGTTTTTGGTTAACTGATTACAGCGCTTACAGTGCTTTGATTCTTAATACCAACAGTCTGGTATCACATCTAATCTTTAAGATGAATCATATGATACCACAATGTATCATACAATTCATGCTGCTGACCCTTCCACAGAGGTATACTCCCTGTTTTTTTAAGGGGTGGTTTGCTCAATTGAATTTTTCTGTGTTTTATATGGTGAACTCTTGTTCGTCTGCTCGTGTTTTTTAACCATTGTGTTGCCTTTAAAGGTTCAACAACCAGAACGATATTGTTGTTTTTTTACTACATGAAAAGAAAAACAAAGGTTTTGCCAAATATGGTTGCTTTAATTCTCTGATACATTTAAAACATACATGTGTGGTATGAGCACATTTAAAACATACATGTGTGGTATGAGCAAATTTGCAGAAGATTTTTAAAGACCTGAAATAAAACGATACAATCCATTCAGATCATTATAAATCAATTGCAGAATTAAGAGTACCTGTAACGTCATCTGCACACTTGGTAACAGTCACTATTCCAGCAAGGGCACATGATGTTACAACTGACAGGAAGATCTCTATGGCTATGATGAAAATTTTCTCTGAGATTTTCCACTGTCTGACGTTACCTTAGATATGAAAATAAATATTTTGTTTGAACATAGATTTTATACGAACTACTTTTACAGAAGGTAGACCAAGTAAACGAATTATTTATAGATATGTTTTATCTGAGCATACTGCAATACTGCTACAAAGTTGAAAAAAACTAGCATATATTTTATTATCATTTATAATTTTACATAAAACGTTAATAATTTGAACCTACCTTCAAAGCAAAGTGATATATCAATTAGCAAAATGGAAAAAGAGGATGATGTAGTTTAATCATATGATACAATTTAACTTTTTTTGATTCGAGCGTCACTGATGAGTCTTTTGTAGACGAAACACGCGTCTGGCGCAAATACAAAATTTCAATCCTGGCATCTATGATGAGTTTATTTAATAGTAATGAAATACTAATGGTACATACTGTCAGCTTGTTATGTCATACATACATTGAGCTGCCTTATCCTATGTATATTATGTAATATACAATCACGTGCGGTCAGAAGATAGGAGCGTTTAATCGAATGGCATGTTGTTTGAAGAGTAAAGACGTCATCACTGAAACCTACCAGTTATAAATCTTCGAGGAAATTCCGTGGTAGATCTTCTCATTGAATAAAATATCTTACCACTGACAGGAGGGTTTTACAGAAACAATCATAACCATGTAAACTTGATTAATTATTATAATTTTCTATGATTAAAGTATACGTACACGTTATAATTGATCAATTCTATAAAGTTGCTTAAATAAATCGTTTACATGAAAAGGTATAAAAAAAAATTAGTAAATCAGTATGCTCATGATTGTGAATTTGTTTAATATGTTCCCCAATATTTTCATAATGATTGAATTTCACTCATAAAATTACGTGAGTAATAAATATCATAACTTTGAATGATATAAATGAGAAATAGAATAAAAACATGCACCCAAGACCGGTCAGTACTTACGAATAAAAGAGCTAACTCTGTCCGGTACAAAAGTGCATATTATGATGGAACAGGCTGTTAACAGCACTATACCGATGAATGCAAACATTAACAAAAAGCTAAATGTTTTTACACAAGATAGAGTATTAGTTTCACTTGTTGACTGGCCTGTTCCCGGCTCACCAGAAAAACCTGTTGAAAAAAATAAGCAAACGATTCAAGCATGATACCTTCTCAAAAAGAGAAGTACGATATAAGTAATCCGAATCGTATTAGGAAAGATGTAATTCAGTATAGGTTATTCTGTGACAAGTATGTCAAACCGAAAGCATGGAATAGTTAAAAGTATAATTTTAAAACAAATACCAACTGTCACTTAGAAAATCATAACTCATTATAATATTTTCTTCAGTAACAGCATTCATTTTATCTTATTTATCTTTTATTTCATTCATTTTTTTTCCAAACGCTGTTTTATCGACTGCCTAATCTTTTATTTTGAGAGTACATGATATTGGTTATTTAAATATGTCGGATGTACCACTGCGAGTATCATGAGATTATATTACTCCACTAGATTGATGCCGCTGCAGACCTCTGCCAACGCTTTAACTACTTTTCGACCAATAGCCAAATGATTCTATATTAATTTAAATGAAATTTTTCACGATAAGTTTCAGTTGAGAAACTATGTTAAAATATCACCGCTTCGAAAGAGGGCGATATAATGCGTTACTTGTGTCCGTCTGACAGCTTTTCCGTCCGACCGTTCCATGAAATTTACTTATGTATGTAGATTTCGCTGCCATTATTGAAAAAAAAACAGCGAATCAGAGCTTCCTGAAATTTGATATCAAGCTTTATGTGATTATATTATGCCATGCGATGCGTGTTCACATCCATCGCTCCACAGCTTCAATTTTACAAAATACTTATAGAGGGTGTATCATTAGTGAACAATAGGTTCAACGTCTTATTTCAAATAAATGAATTAAGTTGCCACTTTATGTATAATTGTTTGGTACTTAATGATTTACAAAAACTTATATAAACAGTATATCTAACTGTGTAGTCAAGCAATAAACCTTTACTACCTAATTCTTTAACAACAAGTTCTATTGGATGGCCTCTTCCAACACCAAGAATATTGACAGCAAAGCAGGTATAACTGCCACTGTCACCTACTGTCGCATCGTGGATGGTCAAAGATGGTGAATTTGCTGTGCTTCCACTATACCGATCTGTGAAGCTAAAGGGTTGCAAAATCTCTAACTGTCCAGTCTTAACAAACTGCCAATAAACAATTGATGCATAGCTTTTCTCAGCTACAGGGCATTCCAGTTTTACTTTACTACCTGATATGTATTGCAGTGTCGTACTGGTACTAGTTATCAAGGGTAAATCTGGAATAACAATCTTAATTTGATGCATTCTAATTTTTCAGGAATATTTAACTACAATTTAAAACAGCTATCACAAATTCAATGAATATACATGATGATTTAAACACAATAAAGTCTATTTTTGTCACGGCAATGAGTGACCGGGGTGTATTATGACTGTCATTTTGTCATCCCGTTCTTCCGTCATTCTAAAATAAACAGTTTTTCTGGACTTTGCCTTTATTTCTGCATATTTGATGTTTGATAATTGAGTGTATAAGGATGACTTGTACATCGAGTTTGTGTTTCTGTTCGTTTGAACCACATTTTGCGGAATTAAGATTCTTGGAAATTTTATGAAAATTGTCTGGAATGTTTTTGTTATGATTCAGTGCTCCGGAGTTAATCCTAAGTACATTAATGTATACTGATGACTAACAGATCGGGTACGCGTTTTGTTGTAGTTGGTTGACTTTTGGCGGAAAAACGGTCCTTGGACGTTTTTAGGAAACTACTATCATAATATAATAATTTAACAAGAACAAAAAAATCATTTTCTGTTCCAAGTTCTGGAGTATGACAGTTGTTTTCCATTCGTTTGAGGTGTTTGAGCTTTTGATTTTGCCATTTGATAAAGGACTTTTCGTTTTGAATTTTCCTTGGAGTTTGGTAATTTTGGTGTTTTACTTTTTCTTTTTTGTGTTTTGTTGACTGTCGTTTGTCTTTACGTCGTTTTTACCTGGATCACAGTGTTGTCTGTTTTCTTTGTTGTTTTGCTTCATCGGTATTTTCTCCTTTTTGACACACAAATATCTCAAAAGTATACAATCTTCTTACCAATATATATCATGTACTTTGTTATAACCAAAGATGGAGCCATCAAGGAATGGCATTGCTCGACTAACAAATTAAAAGCTTTATTTTATATAGCCTAGCTAGCTGAGTGGTCTATGGCGCATTCAACAGTCATGCAATATAGTCACAGAAGCATGGATTCGAATTTCGCAAAATTGGATAATGATAATTTGCAGATCTAACATTGTTGGGCTAAATGTAAGACGTAGTATATATAGTAAAACCAAACAAATCCAACTTTCTGATTCTAATTTTTGTCACGATTGACATTTTGTTTGTTGTTGACCTCATACCATTTAAAATCTAAAAGGAAACAGACGCAAAACAAATAAAGTACATCTTCGGCTTCAGTTAAATAGACAATATTACTAGAGATGTCAACGATTACTCGAGTACTCGAGTATCGCTCGGTAGTACCGACCACGAGTACCAAAATGATACTCGACTAATCGGTTTCCTGTTAGAATGATGTTGCTTTCTTAAGTTTAAACAAAAAAATATTTTATTGAGAGCTTCTCCCGGGAAATTATATGTTAATCAAAGTTAATAAAAATTAAAATACTATTCTAATGTTTGCGTTTAACTGTCATTCAAAATTCCTTCAAACAGAGGTACATGTATGATATATGAACAAGAGTATTTTTCAAAGGCTTACACTTTTAGCTAATCTTAGTCACTCCCCCACCTCTGTACCGTCAAAGCATGCATTTTCATCAGCAGGACTGTTAGTTAACCTAACAGATCTGAGAAATCGCTACATCCCAGAAAAAGTTGACAAGATAATATTTTTAAATAAGAACAAATTCGTTGCACCCTGTGTCGACCATCAGAAAATGATAAATGGCATCAGTAATTTCTAATCACCACCCCTTTGTCGATCATTAAATGTGTTTTTTTAAGGTTCACAAATACCGTTGCTTGAGTAATAATTTTTCTATACATATTAATTAATTACTTGATTAGATTATTGCCAGTTTACATAATTAGTGCATGTAGTAAATGAGCTATTAATTATGGTATAAAATTCCTTGGACTATTATCTGGGCCTAGGTAATAATGTTGATGGTTTTACGATCATAAGACAACGACCCACAATACATAAATGGTATAATTTTGTGTTTCCATTTTGTAAATGTTTTAACGAGCGAGTACTCGAGTATTGCTCGGTAAATCCAACGAGTAATCGATTAGTAAATCTTCACCGAGTTGACATCCCTAAATATTACCTCTAATTTTTTCAACAATATCTACAAAGACTGCAGCACTTGAACCTGGACCAATATCATTGACAGCTATGCATGTATACAGTCCTTCATCTGAAAAGTCTGAAGAGGTAATAGTCAAAGATGGGACTTTCGGCGAACTTCCGCTATACTTGTCATCAGTACTATTTCCATATATAGTTTTTATCTCCCCTGATGAATTGTGTATCCAGTAAACATTATCTATTTCAATAGTTGATTCAACGATACATTCTATGGTAACAGAATCTTCATTTTCGACGATGTAAGATGGTTTTAGAATAACAACACTTGGTACATCAGAAACTGCAAAAATATATAATGTTTGATATGAAATCCATGCGCTTAACAAAATAGTAGAGAGAACGATAACATATTTTATTGGTGTACCCACTGTCTATATCACTCTATTCAGCTCTTTATAAAATTTAATATCAGGGCTTTGTGGCGTCAAATACGTTGACCCGGCATTAATAACTTTGACCCGGACATATCACCGACCTCATAATGACTGAACCGACGTTAATAAGGTTGACTTGAACTTATCAAGTCATCTTCTGGTTTGTTGGTTAAACAAAGAAAAACACTTGTCTATCATGCAAAATACAAAAATACAATCAGATAATCGATTATGAGATTTCCATCATATTTATATTGTAAAATATCAATATGCAGACAACCTAATAATCGGTACTTACTAAGATAATCATCAGTATAATGATATAGTAATGATTCAATACATGTAACCATATCGTAAACACGGGAAGATCATACAACTCAATACCAGTATTTTGGGGCATATTTCAAATTCCTCTTGAGGTCGACAAAAAAAACCCAAATAATTATTTTATGATTCGACATGCTTTCAACATTTAAGGGCATCGCGAACTCGACATGTTTAAAAGTTACGTATATGATAAGAAAAACGACATGAACTCAATTTTTTGTACATATCGTTCTATATTGATATAACTGCCTTTAATTGAAAGAATATGAAGAATCATACTCTATAATGCATAGAAAGGTCGCTTCAGAAGGGCTTTGCTGATATTTCTGTTGGACATTGTTGTATATGAGCATAACCTCCGAACTAAGACCGTACAGTAGATAGCAAGATGAATTGTGCCATAATTGATTCCTTCTTAGATTATTTAAAAATTGAAATCTTTAATCAACAAAAGTTGAAAAATTATATTTACTAACAGACATGGGTTTATTGATAGTTAGTTTACTTATTCAATCTACAGGGTAGACCAATGATATTATGTGTTCATTACATTTAACCAGGGCACCTACCGCAGTATATTTCTGGCTGTGTGGAAACAGCTGTCGTACCACTAGAGCATATATCCATCGATGACAACAGGGACCCAGATCTCTGACCTACAGTACTGGTGGCCGAGCCGCAGTTAAGTGTACTAGTATATGTAAATAATGACAGTGCTGTAACTCTATTTTCAAGCAGAATTCTGCATAAATCTCTGTCCGCTTTACCAACGGTATTAAACCGTGTTCGAACTGTGAAAACAGTGTCTATCTGTAGGAAAAAAACCCAACATTTTATCGCATTGGATGTCATCCGAAATGAAATAAATATTTATAATAACGAAATACACTTGTTGTGTGTACCATGCAGATAGTAAGATGTGTATGTTTGTGTGTGAATGTGGATGTTCAACTTGGTAAAAAAAAGTAACTGGCAACTCAACCAAAATGATATCGTATCATCACGTGATGATTTCCATATTTCTTAATTCTAAATAAAGTAAAGAAAGTGTGAACAGGTAAAATAATTTCTCACTATGAAACGTAAAATGTTCTTTACGATCAAAGCCAGAGAGGCTATAAATTAATTACACACTTCCGAAACAGATATCTGAAGGTTAACATATTGTCTTCAACCATATACAGGTTTCAATCAAATATGGCAGAGTATATCTTTATAGCTATAAAGTAGAGATCAATTTAATCTGTGACTATCAAAGATCTGCCATTTATACCAAATGAAGATTAGCATGAGATAACAACTACGAGGCTTTCAACCCTTGTTTTTCCCTCAAGATTAGTGTATTGACAAATACAAAAGAGAGCATACGATATAAATCGGTAGAAGGAAAAACACCACTTAACTGTTTAAAACGGAATACTACTTATATCTATACTTAAAGAGTACATCCTGCAGCTTCATATATTCATACCTTATATAAAGTAATTTTGACCTGTTTGAATGCGTATACATTAAAAGTTTGTTTCCATAATACAATGTATTGGAATTCAAATTGAATGGCAACATTCCCTTTTACATTACTCACTGTAAATCCAGATGTTTGTGATTGTATGTCAGCTATTTCCAACATAATACCAGTATTAAAGATATTATTGTGACACACATTCGTAGCCTCTTGCCCAAAAGCAGATTTTAAGTTTTCCAATATTTGCTCGTGACTTGTTAGGCAATATTTCGCAATAGCACTGAAATTGTACCTCACTTGAAGCCTGTATTCTGTTAGGGGTAAAACATATGCTACAAAAAGAATATCATTTTATCAATCAGGCTTGGAAGAAGGACATCCATAATAATACAAAGAATGATTACAAACAAATAGTATCACAAAATGATAGTTTTCAGATTAAGGTCATTTTGTATTTTGTGTGGTGGTGAAATAGAATTTGTTTTATTATTGTAAACAAAGATAAAACGTCAATTATTTCTTCAACTTCATGATTCAGAAATTCTGTAAAAATATCAAATGGTCCATTCTTGATTACCGATGTCCTGTTTACAATGATGGATTCTTACATATATCTTCATTCTTATTATGCATTTCTTTTGACAAACGTTACCTTCAATACAGACAGATATGTATTCTGAAAGCAATCACCATGCATGCATATTTACCTTATTGAAAATTTCGTTTTCGAAAGTGCTAGTTAGTCTGTCTGTGTTTGGATATGGTCGATCGATATATAAATACACGTTTGATGTCATGTGTTACAAAATAGTTTATTTCGATCTGATCGGTTTTATTTATTTAACGTTACCTAAACATCCCTTTGGTGGCAGGGGTGGACTCCAAACATTATTTTCACAACGGAAGTTCACTGTTAAATTACCATCTCTTGTAACATATCCACTATCACATGACACAATGCACAAAAGAAAAGAGTTGTCGCTACATGTCACATCACCGTTACTGATCATGGGAAATACACTAGGGGCGCAAACTTCTTCTGTGAAAAGGAGAACAACGTTATGTAATTATTTTTCTTATCATGTGTCAGATATGACACAAAAAACGGAATTTGATTAAGTATAGTCTTAACTATCTAGACACAAAGAACATTAAAACGTGTTTAGATTTTAAGGGATCTTGTTTTTTTTTAATTTTCGTTTCAATGGTGTTCAGCCTTTTACATCTCATTAAAGTGTCATATGTTCAGTTACTTATTATGTAGTGTTTACATATTTGATAGTCTGAGAATAGACTTTATACATCTGAATTTACCGCCTGACAAAAGTCTAAATAGTATAGAATTTGCTCATGTCGAAATGCCATTAGTACTGATTCCTTAATTTTTAGCTTTTTATATCGTAGTTAAATGACACTTGCTCAGAAATTTAATATGTATAGAAAATAAATCATATATTTATATATATATATATATATATATATGAATATTACTAGCATATAGATCTGTTATATAAAAGTGACTGAACACTCTAAAGATAGATTGAATGCATCTGAACAACCCCATGTTTAGAGTCTAACAGAACTTTGATTGGCCACTACAATTTTGATAATCAATAATAATTGTGCACAGTGAGTTGGTTTTGCTAAATATACAATGTATAAGGAGTCATACAAGCAATAGAGTTTATCAAAAAGAAAAAGCGATTATTGAATCAAACATTTCATGTCGGTGTCAGATAGGTAAATCGAAATAAATTAAAAGAAAACGAACGAACGAAAAAATGGATACGTTTAAAATTGATTGATATGTAGGAAAAGTAGATACTAGTTGTAAAATAAAACTTAAAAAATCCTGCAATAGCCTACTATATGCAAGATCTTGACCATTCAGGTTTGGTGACAAAACAAAAACTGTCTGCCTTTCGCGATATTTGGCTCATGAAGATCAAGCTCATGTGTATTATCATGCCAAAACTGTTACCTTCTATGATAATAGTATAACACCGAACAGAAATATGGTTTAGTTATTTATAATCACTGTCAATAACCATATGTTGTCTTAAGATGACACCGTTGCAGAATAATTTGGTTTGCCATTAAAATTTGATAACTTTACAATGTAAAACAAACCTCCTGTGACATTCAGGTAAATAGGGTAACTTTTTCCTGTACCAACCAAGTTTGTCGCCGTACAAACATACCAACCACCATCAATTGCTTCAAGATTGTACAGTGTCAGTGAGTGTTGAGACAATGTTCCTCCACTGTACAATCTATTCGACAATCCTGTTCTATTTTTTTCCCATGATATCGAGATAACATCTGGGGAACTAGACGCATTACAGTTCAATGTTATGTTATCGGCGATTGTTACATGGTATACAGTTGACGATACATACACGCTAGGAACACCTGAAGAAGAAGGCATATTTTTAGATTTCAATATTTACAACTGGATTTTTCTACTTTTTTTTTCGAGTAAGTATTACTCACAAAAACAGATACAGGCAGGGATTGTGCCTGATATTCATATGATGAAGACATAATCTTTCAATCAGTTTAATTGAGGTCTGGAGCTGGCATGTCAGTAACTGCTAGTAGTCTCTGTTGTTATTTATGTATTATTGTTGTTTATTTTCTTTTGTTTCCTATTCTGACATCGGACTCGGACTTCTCTTATACTGAGTTTAGTATGACGTCCATTTTCACTGAACTAGTATACAAATTTGTTTAGGGGTCAGCTGAAGGACGCCTCCGGGTGCGGGAGTTTCTCACTGCATTGAAGACTCACTGGTGGCCTTCGGCTGTTGTCTGCTCTATGGTCTGGTTGTTGTCTCTTTGACACATTCCCCATTTCCATTCTCAATTTTATGATGCACATCAATACAAAATTAAGTTAAATCGCGTCGTGTGCATTGCATTAGGTAATATGATTTTATATTACTTCTACTGGTTTGGTAAATCTTCATGTTGAATGTACGGCTCAGAGGACACCATCAACTCAGTAGATAATGCTTCATGACGTTTCCGAGGACGCTATCAGTCAGTAGTAACAACAATAACATTAACATGATTAAGGGTACCAATTTCGATGCACCAGATGCGCATTTCGACAATAAATGTCTCTTTAGTGATTGATGTTCGAGGTCAAAATATTAGAAAATCCAAACCTTATTCAAAAGGAAGAGCTTACAAGTCAATACATCAAAAATCAAAATCAATAGCTGATGATTTAGAGCATTTCCGTGGATATCATCAACTCAATAGCCAATGATTAACATGCTTAAGGATTGTCATGATATTATCGACAAACTTTTTATTTTACTATCAAAAGCTTCTGGCGCATTTATGACGACGGTAGTATTCCCGAAACGAAAAGTTATGTGATTTGAATTGTTACATCAACAGACGACATATATAAAATATATACAACAAAAAGATATGAATGATTAAACTTTCGATGAATTAACCGATAAAGATACGAATGTTAAATAATTATTTCAACGGGATCCATTGAGATAAACTATTATGTTTGTTTGGATTGCTCACCCAATTTTGTCAATATAACGGAAATATAAACAACTGCCATATAAGTAGGAGGTTTAGAAATGCTATAAACATGATAAAAACCAGGTTTAACCCACCATTTTATTCGGAAAATGCCTGTACTAAGTCAGGAATATGGCAATTGTTTTTCACTTGTTCCGTTGGTTAATAGCGTTTGATTTTGTTACTTTTTATGGACTTCCTCCTTGTGAATATGACTTGGAGTTCAGTATGTTTGTTATACTTTTTAATCATATTTGTTACTTATAGATGAATCAAAAGTCTTTCTACATATGTGCGGTATAATAACTTAGAATAGGCAAATACAAAAATATACCTCCAGTGACCGTTAGGGTAGTAATATTACTTCCAGTACCAAGTAAATTTGTCCCCATACAAACGTATTTGCCATCATCCTCAAAGTTAATATTCAATAACGTCAGTGATGGTTTAACTATTGTTCCTCCATTGTACTTCGCATGTAAAGGATCGATGTCTTGTAAAGATCCAGAGGCATCAGTTTTCCATGAAACAGCGGTAAGATTTGGCACTGAAGTTATTTTACATTCCAAGGTAACGTTTTCACCGTAAAGGACCGAAAAGGTTGGATCAATCCGAACTGTTGGAGTTCCTAAATTATAAACATGATAAACATAGATATAAATTTGAATAAAACATATTTTAGTTAAAGTACTTTTTTGACACATAGCTTCATTATTTTCTGCATATCTATACATCCATGGCTGTTAAATTGTTTTAGCGTTCATGATGAAGGTAAATCAAGAAAAGTACTTCGGACGACCGCAGATTACTTTAAAGTGTCTTTTTCTATGTAATGGCAGCATTTCGTTTTTCGTTTGGTATTATTTTGTATGAATCAAGAAATACTGTTAGATTAAGTAAGAATTCAATTATCGATGTATTGATTTGTAATACTGCTTAGTTTATACAGATTAATTTTAAAAACTTATGTATTCAATCTAATTGATGAAAATAATTTTTTTTTTAATATCTCCTTTATGGATTGAGACTAATAACTGGAAACAGTCTTTGAAAAAGAATCCACTTTTATAGCATGCATATCAAATGTAATCAAGATTATATGTGAAACTAAAGGAGTGTCATTCAAAAAGCAACAATAACAGACCTTATATTAAAAACAAATGCTTCATGTACTGCGTCTTCTTTTCTTATTGTTAAACATGTTGAGGTTGATTTATAAAATGTTAAGCTAAATATAAACAAAAATAATAAGGAAGGAGCATCTACCTCCAATAACATGTAGTACTATGGGTGCTCCGACTGTAGTACCAGCATCATTTGTTGATTGACACACGTATACTCCATTATCACTCAAATCCACTGTATTTATTTGCAAGGAGAACGTGGAGTTACCACTTATTTGAAATTTGTGTCCATCAGTGACAACGTTTCTGAATGTACCAGTTGAATTTCTTGTCCAAGTTGAAGTTATAACAGGCGGATAGGCAAATACTGAACACTGAAGTTTAACAGTATATCCTGCTATGACATCGTACCTATCTTGTGAATTGGTAATAACAGGTTTATCTGTAAACAAAATGATTACATAGTCATTAAGTTATTTATTTCAATGAAATCTTCTTACTTGACGCGGGACCTCGGTGACCAAGTGGTCTAAGTAGTTTTACTACTGTAATCACTAGCCAGTCAACACTAAGGTTGTGAGTTCGAACCTCGCTCGTGCGGGTGCACTCGACTCCAATCTTAATTGACTAGGATTGTCAGTTTTCCTATCGAAGGTCGGTGGTTTTCCCCGGGCATTCCGGCTTCCTCCACCAATAAAAACTGGACGCCACAAAATAGCCCAAATGTGGCCCTAAAAAGTGGCGTTAAAACACCAACATTCAATCAATCTTACTTGACGAAGGGAGACGAGGAAGTTTTAAACCAGTAGTTCCACATTTTAACCAAAAAGGTTAAATGACAAACTTGCCGTTTGCAAGGGTAATGGTTCTTTTTAAAAAGCTTTTAACTTCAGGTATAAATCCCTCAATACTCTCCAACTTCGTACTTTATTTATCCTTTTATTTTGTTTTATTCGAGTGTTTTGTAGACGAAACGCGCGTCTGGCGTTCTAAATTTTAATCATATCTATGATGAGTTATTTGACATATTGATAGTTTTAATGTAACCGAAAATCTACCAACTATGTATCTGTTTTTATTGAACAAAGACTTCTAGTCATATAAGGTTACCAACTTACTTGCTGTTACATTTAGATAGATAGGAGCACTAGATGTTGTTCCAGCCAGATTGGTACCTGTGCATGTGTACCATCCTTCATCTATACTTTTTGCCACAATTATTGTAAGCGAGGGCATATTAGGTAACGAACCACTGTAATCTGGAGTCATAACATCAATTTTCTTTAGATTTCCACTATCATTACGGTACCATATTACTTCTGTGACTGTCGGAACACCATATATCATACATTGTAACATTATGTTACTACCAAACTGTACTGTATAATATCGTAAACCGACACTCACAACTGGTAAATCTAAAAAATCAAGACAGAGCTAAAATAACACAGGAAAATTCAAAAATAAATTGACAAGAGCAAAATATATCAAAATGTGAAATTTTTTTATATCCTATCATTAATTCATCTAGCTGTACTGTAATGTCAGCATAAGAAAGATAAAATTAATAAAAACGATACTAGTTTTTTCTTCAAATTGTCTCGTACAATAGATAACAAGAATTGGTAAAAGATTTCGGTCCCATATACATTGCATATCAAAATTGTTATTTCACCAAGTTAGTTCTTCTCTCTTATACAAGGAACTACGTATACTTAAATATTCGTTCCATACAGAGTATGTTGAAATATTAATTGAGCCATTTTATTTAAACCAAACAAAATGAGTGAGGTATAATTGCTTTCCACGTATACAACAGTTGATGAACGCTGGATGTGAAAACGCTTCACACAGTATATCATGTTCTCATGAACAATGATAACAAATTGAAGGAAGCATTAATTCGAAGTTCCTGATAATAATGCAACGAACATTTAGTATATGTAAAATAAGTTTAAGTATGTGCTAACCAGAAATTATTGAGCGATGGATTTGGCTACTTATTACATGCTCCCACTTTGATACAAAATTCAAGAAACTTAAAAGAATTACGAAAAAAATGTCAGACCGCCAGAGGTAAACCAGTATAAAATATGAAAACAACACGTTATAAATTCCATGCGTCAGAAGCGCTTTTCTGAATTTACCTTCATCAGGAACGCTCAATATACTCTCTCCTGCAGAGTAGGCGTATAATATTTGTAAATGTATTTTCATGTGTTCCTATGCAAATAATGTTTGTTTGTGCATGTTGTGATGTTCTTAATTCTGTGATTGTGATAATATTCATGATGTTGGTACTTGGAAGCGAATTATTGTATTTGCGGTACTAGGTTGACAGGTCAGTTTTTATGTATTTGGTTTATCATTTATCATGTTTAAAGTAAAACACAGTAAATTTAACTTGAGGGGCATTTATTGGGATTATCAAACAATATGTAAATAACACATTGTGAAGGATACATCTATGTGTAACAAGAGATCGTTTTAATATATGGGAACTTCGTTGATAAACTCCAAGTAAAAGCAAAAAAAGAATAGCAGCAATAAAATTGCTGTTTCTTTAATTGTTATTATTTTCCTATTCAAATTTATTCTCATACACTTTCAGATCATTTTTCTTATGCTTTCTTTAATTCTTTAATTAAAATAAAAAAAATTATGTTACCTCCATTCACAGATAGTATTGAAATATTACTACTTCCTGTTCCGGCGAAACTTGTTGCTGTGCATATATATCCACCTCTGTCACTAAACCGGACACCAGTCATAACTAAATTTGGATTAGAAACTGTACTGCCATGATAATTTTGACTATCAATGATTATGTCTACAAACTGGTTTCCAACTTTCTTTTGCCATTTAACATTCGACACTAAAAGGTCTGACTTAATGCTACAATCTAATGTGACATTATTACCAAGTATTACAGCATATGAGATTTTCAATACTTCTACAATGGGTAAATCTGAAACAAAGTAACATACTGATAAATAAAAAAAAAGAAATTGCCAGTATTATATTAAAAAAGGAATGCTTAATCGCCCTTCAACCTTTGTAGTGTATTCATTGCTATGGAAGTTTTGATAATGTAGAAGACTTCATAAGTATGATTTACTTGTGACTAATCCGTTTTACTTTAATTTAGCAAATAAAATGTGCTTAAACTGATGTAGAAGTTGTTTTATTTGGTTAATTATAGATATGACAGGTTAACATTTCAAAATGAATATACTATGCATTGAATTAGCTTGGATATCTAATAATTGAGTTTTCGCCTTAAAAAATTACACAGATGCTTAACGTGTAAGCTTAACAACTAACATTACCTAACAATTACTTTACTGCAAAGAACATTTTAAATGCATGGAATAAATACATAAGGAAATTCCTGTACAAAATCAGGAATATGACAGTTGTCTTCCATTCGTTTCGTGTTTTTGAGCTTTTAATTTTGCCATTTGATTAAGGACTTTCCTTGTGAATTTTCCTTGGAGTTCGGTATTTTTGTTATTTTACTTTGATAGTATTCATTATGGCTAATTGCAAAAGCGTACTAAGGCGTGCTTGCTAATATACATTACGTTGAACGTGTTAAAGTCAAATTTCGATAATATTAGAACGCTAAAAGTTCCAATTTAAATACATTTTAATCACAGTTTTAACTTTATTATTTTTAACATATCCTTTACATTTTCACTGCAGAATTTCAATTTGAGAAAAAAAAAGTTCAAGGCTAATTATGTTTTCTTTGTACCTAATTCGGACCCAAATTTAAAGTATCTGATTTCTCCCAGGGAAAATCTTTTCCATTTCTCCAATATACTTTGAAATATGGAATCTTATCCAAAATTACTAAACGTACCTTGAACTGTTGTGATGACAGATAACATCATATTTGGTCCACTCCCAACTCCGACTTCATTTATGGCGGAACATTTGTACAATCCGATATCATCAAAATCAACATCTTTGATGGTCAAGGAAGCTTCCTGCGTTGTACCTCCTGTGTACCGACTGTCATTAGTCTGAATGGCTACTTGATCGGTTTTGCCATATGGAGTAAATAGCCAGTAGATGGAGCTAATAGGAAGATTAGATTTAATATCACAATACAATGTCACGTTGCTTCCAACTTCACTTGTGTACTGCGTGTCAGTGCTACCCACTTGTGGAATTTCTGATACTAAAAATTAAAATATGCAAATATATATTTCATAATCAATTCTTGTTAAGGCACTTAATCAAACAAGAAGTCTTTATAAAAAGTCTTGTTCTAAAAACAAAGTGACAATAAAGTGTTTAAAACATTGTTATGTCAAAAATAAATGAAGAAATCTTTTAAAAATATAGAGCAACATTCGTCTTATCTTAAGTCTCATAAGCATTATTAATGTTGTATATTATTCCAAAAACATTCTAAAGATATGATACTTATTTTAATTTGCAGAATTTTCATCTGTCGAATATTATTGATATGCCTGTCAGCAAATAAAAAAAGGTCTTACTAGATCACTGATTTACATTTTTTTTTTGAATATTTCTTTTCTCCTTACAAGTACAAACATGTTCCGAAGAATTTCGACATATGTAAAAAATAATTTGGTGATTATTCGATGCATTCCAGACTTTGTAGTATAGTATGTGTATATACTGCTGACAATTAATTTACCAATCATTAGGCCTACACCTATACTAGGAAAACACATATTCACCACTACTATTACTACCAATCTTCTATAAAGAAATGGATTCAATGGTTGAAGCACTAATGTTAATAATTTGAAACCAAACTCGTACTCCTTTTACTTGTATATTACCTGATCTCAAATCAACTAAATATGATTTACATGTATGGTTTATGATTCTAAGCATTGTATGTTTGATACATCAATGTATACATATTTGATGCATGAACTGAGCATTCTTATATAAAATCAATATGGTTAGCTGATATTTTTTTTGCACCAATTCAAAAGGCAGTGAATATTGCTTAAAACATACAAGATGATTTTATTAATTCATAAAACTACTAGACTATGTCCATTTCTTAGAATAAATATTTGAAAAGTAATATGTTTTTTTTTAAATTTTCATTTTTACCATATAACGTTAAGAGCTTCGTCACAATTTTACCAAACGTTTCCAACCAATAATGAAACTTCTTTTAATGTACAAATGTCTATTATGAATATATACAGATATATATTTGGTTGATTGATTGATTGTCTCAGGCTTAACGTTATTTTAAGTCGTTGTAAAATTATTTCTTGCTATCAGTTAGGGCGTCAACATATAAATTCAATTGGTAGGTTCTGCAAAGATGATCAGCTGAAATTTGTACTGCAACTGAAAGAAAACTGTGAATTGGGTGGGCCGAAAATTTAACCTGGCTAAAAGCCCATACGGAACATCAAATTATTGTGACATGGGTTCTTTAACGTGCAGAGACTGTGAGAGCGTTCCTTCACGAGGCTGTTGACTTAATGCAACCATTGGGTTTTTAATGTTTAAATCCAAAACGGTCAAACGGAGGCTTTTCAGAGTGGATGTATTATCGTACGGGAAGGTCCTGTTTGCCATATTCTTAGCTTATACCCCAGTCTACAATTTGGATTTTTATGAAGCAGACATGAAATGAATAAATACATCTGATCGTCTACACTATATTTGTGAAAGAAGACATGTTTTTAAAAATTACTCATGGTACGCAAAATCAGTAGTAAACACATTTAGATATCAAACGGTCATTTAGATCTGAACATTTCTAAAAGACTGAACAATAAATTATTAAGTCATTTTCAGTCTTGTAGTCTGTTTGTGAATTTTCAGACTTATCTACTGCAGTAAAAGAGGGACGAAAGATACCAGAGGGACAGTCAAACTCATAGATCGAAAACAAACTGACAACGCCATGGCCAAAAATAAAAAGACAAACAGACAAATAATAGTATAGATGACACAACATAGAAAACTAAAGACTAAGCAACACGAACCCCACCAAAAACTGGGGGTGATCTCAGGTGCTCCGGAAGGGTAAGCAGATCCTGCTCCACATGTGGCACTCGTCGTGTTGCTAATAATATTACAAATCCGGTAAATAGTCTAATTCAGTAAGTCACATTCGTGAAAAGGGAAGGGTATTGTAGTTACGACATAAGGAACATATCCGATATCATCTGTGAAAAGGTTATTCCATAACGGTCAACCAACTCGAAATGGCGTCCGTAAAATTTACGAAGGGATGATTTCAACTTCACCATTTGGAACTCTTGGCTTTAAAGCTTTCTTGTGAGCAGCCATCCTCTATCAAGGAAATCATGATAGGAAACACAAGCCCGGGAATATCGTATCAATTGAGAGATATATACTCCGTATGCAGGCGCTGCTGGAATGTTGCTACATAGAAATGGAAAGTTCACAATTGGGAAGCTGAAATCATCTCTTTTGTCGTAAAGTTTTGTTTTCAACCGACCCTCATTGTCAATTTCTAGATGTAAGTCAAGATATGAGGCAGACTTAATTGTATCTGTAGTATCCTTTATCTCTAGTTCGATGGGATAGATTCGTTCAACATAGTCACCAAATTTTGTATCATTTAGTGAGAGAACATCATCTATATAGCGGAACATAGAGTTAAAGGATATTGCTAACTTCTTATCTTTCTTCCTAAGAAGTTCCTGTAATTTAAAAACTGTTCAGACAATGCGCTTGTATTCTATTAAGATCTGTTCAGTTTATGTTCAGACTTTTCAGTATGTGTTATTTGTATACGTCAACCTCTAACTGAAAAACTACTGAACAGTCCTGAATTGACTGATAACGAATTGTCTGAACAGCAATGAGTTTTCCGCGGTGGATAAGTCTAAATATAAACTAAAAAACATAACATGATGATTTTAAGATCAAAAAGACCGGTTCTGACTATAATTCGTTTTTTAAGGGTATTCATAAATTATAAAACTTGAATGATTAACAACAGCCAACAACAAAACTATTCTCAAGATAGAAAAATGTTTGGTCCAAATGTCATACCCTAATAATTATTCAAAAACTTACTGCATATATTTGTTTCATCAATGAGTGAAAAGCCATCAGGACACTTTGACTCTTTGCTCACAACAATGCCGTCTGTTTTTGTGATGGCAGATGCTTCTTTGTCACATTGTAAGCTACTGCCATAGACGAAGAAGAGACTGTCCTTAATATTGTTTTCTATCAACAGCCCACATGCATCAGTTGTTGTCTTTGGTGTTGAAGAGTCTCCAACAACAATGAAATATGTTGTTGTGATCTAGAACATGTAAGTATTATGCAATTTAGTAAACTAAACGACGTAAGATATTGAGCTTGACTGTATTACGATTATTAAACACTGTGAAAAAAAACTCAACCCGATATGATCTTTAAGAATCAACTAAAAACCTCTTATTTGATTTGACTGTTTGACAGCAAAAACAGAGATAACAGGAATTATGAGAAACGGGTTAGTTAATTGAAAATCTATTAGTTTGGATATATAATATACTCTGAGATATCACGAGTTCAACGCAATGAAAGAGTATGGGGAACAAAAAGTCATCTGCATCTGTTACATACTTTAGAGGCAATAGTTGTTTACCGATGTTCAAACTTCATTATATCCACAAAAATACAAATGGAATGATATATAAGCATGTATGTTTTTCATTTTAAGTGAACATCCATGTACATGTACTAATGTACTAAATTTACAGAACTCATTTGAATTTTACTTGATTTACTACACTGAATTCACATTACCGATTGATTTTTACATGTTAATCGCGAAAGTAGCAATTATTCTTCAATTTTTGAATAATTTATAACACGTTATTGGTTTTGCCTAACTTCATATTTAAAGTAAAAACTGATTACAGGATAACAAGCAATCTGAGAGTATTGCATGGCAATACATAGTCCCCTACTCCCTAAGAATTCATTGTACTGGAATAAAATGACAAAAAAAGTGCGGAAAGCTGATTACTTGCGTGTATATTCTAAACCCAATGACCATAACTCTGCATAAACAATCATCTGAACAGAACAAGATTTGAACTTGATATATAACTTGTCATGGTTAAACAAAAAACAAATAAATATTTTCAAGCATGACGAAAAAAAGTGTGGAAAACTTATTCATTGCGTTAATTTTCCAAAATTTTGCAAAAATCATCAAATTCGATTTGTTACTTCTGATGGTAAAACTATATACCAAATATCACATCTTCAAGCATGACAAAAAAAAGAGAAGAAAAATGATTACTTGTGTGGATTTTCTAAGACTCCAAAGACTAAAACTCTGTACAAAATCATCAAACGAGAACAAAATTCATATATGATCTGTAACAAGGCATGATAAGACTATATACCAAATATCAAATCAGTATCTTCAAGCACAAAGAAAAAAAGTATGGAAAACTGATTTGCCGGACTGACGACGGACGGACAGACAGACAGAAGGACGGAGTGAAAACCTAAACTACCCGTCGCCTTTGCCGGAAGGAGACTAAGAATTATGTTTAGGTAGGTATTAATGTGGTAATCAGAATCTTTAGGGCTACCTACAGAACAAGACAAAAGTATATTATTTTGTACTGTTAAATAACAATGACTAAGCAGTATTTTGCTGCATCATAAATATCCAACCATGGCCACTTTGACGGACGCATGAAATTTATAATGTGTTGTATCTAAAATTGTCCGTTTATAAATTTTGGAATCATACAGAAACTACGGTTTCAACTCCCTCAGGCAAAGTTGGCCTTTGATGGATTTGGCTTTTTTAAAGGTCCTTTTAGGTGTATAGCTGTTCAATGTTTTTCGTCCTTATACATCCTTGGTTTTCAAATATTCGGTTTTGAGCGTTCCTGGTGAAGGTTAATCCAGAAAAGCGCTTCGGACGCATGCAATTTATAACGTGTTGTTTTCATTTTTGTGATACGTTTCCCCCTCATCTCTCTACATGAATAAACCTTACATCAAAACTAGACGTCGTTGAATTAGTGCTGTTGACTGCTATTGGTCCAACTGATACGAACTGGTTATTACAATAAAAAGAAATCTGCTGAATGATTGCATCATAACTATTACTAATGGCTTGATTGTGTGCCGTCTTGCAGAACAATGCAATACCAGATGTTCTGTATTTTATGTTCACGACAAGAACGTAAGTAGAAGGCGCTGTTTCTACAAAATCACAATAACTTATGTTAGAACAAAGACATATACTTTCCCTAACTTTAAAGACATATACAAAGTTTCGATTCCATTAGTACAACACTTACAAAAGATTGCGTTATAGTCTTTATAAAGTATTCATTTTTAGTACAATAAATATCATCAACTTTAAATAACGTATACCAAACATCTCTTTTTATTTATCCTGATTAAATTTCGTATTGCCCTTTTAAACCAAAAAAAAGCAGATAAAATCTGCATAAATAGTAATACTTTCATCAACATTTACTGTAATTTTTTCACAGATCAATTTCTGGATGACATTGTTCACATCGTACCTAGACATGTTGGCATAGGTAGAGGTGGGACCCATTGATTTCTTCCAGTGCATTGGTATATTTTGCTGTCACTACCATCTCTGAACATAAAGCCACTGTCACAGTTGATTTCACAAGTACCGGTATTATTGGTAAACGTACAATCTATGACAGAATAACTGACATCTGGAACATATTTCGTACATTCTGGAATGAGACAAAATAAATCATTGATTACATCCATATCATTTGAACTTTGGTGGATAGTTGTCTCATTGGCAATCATACCACATCTCCTTTTTTATATAGATACTTTCAATGATATTTTGGAGCTGAGGTATTTTTTTGTAACATGAGCCTGTCAGTGCCCACAATCAAATAATATAAAACAATATAATGTGTGTCTTTTGTTGAGAGGTAATAAAACGATTGTGTTGTCACTTCTATCTTTAAACTTCTATTCCTTGTACGAAATATGATTGTATTGGCAAGATAAGTTATTCTTCGTGGGACGACTATATTAGTTCAAATACTATAACCATGCATTATATATTATTTTTGTCAATTGAAATATTGATTGAATGTGCAAAAGTAAAATTTAGCAAAAACTTGAAATCCGAGAAAAGGTTGTCTAAATATTACACCCTAAAGGATTTACATTTCCAGTGACCGTTAGTTTTCTCGTCTGATTGTTTTACATTTATCATTTCGGGGCCTTTTATAGATTTCTATGCAGTATGGGTTTGCTCAATGTTGAAGGCTGTACGGTGACATAAATAGTGCTTACTTCTACATCATTTGGTCGCTGGTGAATAATTGTCTCATTGGCAATCATGCCACACCTTCTTATGTTTATAAATGTTATATTGGTACAGAGTGCATATATTACTATAATCCATCCTAATAACCTACCAAAATATTGGACTATCACTAGAAAATGAGGTGGATAGAGGCAGAACATTCGCCGTACAGCAATTCACTTAAGAATACCAACCCATTTCCGCAACCCGAGGTGCTAGGTTCTTAAACATTCAAAGACAAAAGTGGCTCATAACCTTTACAAGAATTTCGACTTTTGAAAATTGGCATTCGTATTGTGCCGCCACATCTAACTGGACTAGTAAAATTAGCCCTCTTTTATCGATTTGAGTGCGTATCATAACATTTTATATACAAGTTGGTATCATTACTTACTTTCGTCAACATTTAATTGTATTGGTACTCCGCGAGTTGTCCCAGCTAAGTTTGTTGCTGTGCATGTATACAAGCCTGCATCATTCAATGCTACGCTTAAAATAGTTAAAGACGGTTCAAATGCAGTTTGGTATCTTATCATGGTCTGAATATGATTATTAGCTGTAAGGTTTAAATGCCAAGATACGGACTGAACATCCGGAACGCCAGAAGTATTACACTGCAAGGTAACATTGTCGTCTTCTATTGCGTCATATAGTGTTGAACTGACAGATACAGTAGGTGGATCTGTAAAATAGACAACACGATACAATGTTCTAGTATAATTGCAAACATTACCTACAAACTCTTCGAAATCTCCAACACCAATCAGGGAGAGTCAAAGTGTCACAAAGATAAACGTTTACAAATAAATGATATACAGTGATTAAAAGAAATTAATTCAGGTTTACACTTGTTTAGTCTTAACTCAATTCTGCAAGCTTACATTTGTCGGGAAAGGTAAAGTAAAATGCATTATAATCACAAAAACTGCAAAGATCTGAATATTACAAATGTGAAACTTATCTTGTTACTTACCTCCAATAACTAATAGGATCGATGAATTGCTTTCACCTTCACCAACAAAGTTATCAACAACACAGATGTATTCTCCGTCATCTTCAAATGTTACAAAGCTAATTGTTAAAGATGGGTTGGCTACGCTACTACCACTGAACCTCACTCTGTCTATGATTATTGGTGTAAATTCTCCTGTTACTTTACGTTGCCACGAAACCTTTGTTGATGGTGGATGCGAACTAATCTCGCACCCAATTGTTACATTCTCTCCAAGAATGACGTCGTATGAATTCCGTGGTATTGTTACCATGGGAATGTCTGAGCGGAATAAATTAAGATAATGATATGAAAAATTATGAAATAACATGTTGAAGACATAACTTAACACAAAGACATAGTTTAATATCTTATTTTGTTTGCTGCGCTTTTAAATTCTTTGTTTAGAGTAAATGCTGATATTCAGTTTGTATTTACAAGTCCCAACTAGAAGATTTAAATTATTTGTAAATGTGCACTCTTTACGTTGGAAATCTGGTTTTGCAAAAAGAAAAAAAACCAACGTTTTTTTTATCTTATTATATATCTATACCCCTCCAATGTATAACAGATGAAGACTTTTTTATAAAAAAATTCTTATGAGGTTCAAGAGGTTATGATCCCATTCCAAACAAGTTTCAGTGAGCAATAATGTATGATTCTTATGCATATTGTCATACTGCTTTGACCTGACAGGGAATTGGTCAATTTACTTTGAACTGAATGTTGATCATCTATAAATATCAACATATACGTTTACCTATCATTTATAGGATATGACTTCCAATTTACCTTTTCTATACTATAACATGCCTAACTTTTTAGATATGTCGGTCAAGCCAATGCAGTTGAATTTGTTTAAGTAATAGTTATCAGCAACTTTGGGAGATTGTTTTGTGTATAAAGAATTAAAATTTGCAATAAAAAACTTACCTCCGGTAACATTGATATAAATTTGATCACTAGTTCCAATACCAACTAAATTTTCTGCAGTGCAAGTGTACCAGCCTTCATCTCCATTTTCCAAATGCCAAATAGTTAGTGAAGGAATATCAACAGTTCCACCACTGTATTTCACATGATCAATTACCATATCTGTTGTTTCATTGGTTGAACCTTTCTGCCACTTGATACTTGTAACATCTGGTGTCGCGCTAACATTACATGCAATTGTGATATTACTTGTGACGATAACGTTGTAGGAATAACTTAGCACATTGATGTTTGGAATATCTGTAAAAGCAAGTAGCCATTCAATGAAATACAGAATGATGTTCTGGGAATGATTTATAGGTTTAACGTTTAGGAAGGGTCGGTTTTAATTAGTGTGTGTACACATGCACACTACTTAAAAATATATTATTTACCTCCCTTCTCTTTTTGGCTTGTTTATATTAAAAAAATGTTATCAACGACTAGGAACAATTGGGAATTCATAAACAGAACGAAATCTCTATTCAAAGCAATTTAAAATATAGCACGATCAAAGAAAAAAATTAATTCCCTCAGAAGCAATGAAATATGGTATCATCAATTGATATAGAAACTTCGATAAATATACCTCCTATGACTGTCAAAGTTGTAAAGTTGCTGAAGCCAGTCCCGACTTGGTTCGTTGAACGACACCGATATAACCCTTGGTGTGTAAAGTTAACACGTGTTAAAGTTAAAGATGGCTGCATAATGGTTCCACCAGTTACTCTTTGTTCATCAGTATCGATATCGGTCAGGGATCCAGACGTGTTATGTTGCCAAAGGACTGATAAAAAGGTTGGATGAGATGAGATGAAACACCCCATAGTAACATTGCTACCATAAATCACAGTGTATTCTTGTGCTCCTATAGTGACATGCGGCTCATCTGAAATGTTAAACAGTAATGATTTATTTCACAGAATGTCTGTAAAGGTCAAGAAGAAGATAATGCATGGTAACATTTTTATTGCATCCTGTATAGATCAACATCAGCCAGCGGGCCGAGACTTCGCCATGTATTTTTTTTTACCTTATCATATTTTAACGATACTTCTGGTGTTTATTCAGGTTATGTGATATATGTTTCAATGTAACATCTATAGCATATGTACAAATCTATGATAAAGAAAAAAGAAAAAAGAAAATATTAGTATTATAAGATCATAAAATCTAATCAACCATATATGTTGTTACAGATATCCATTACTCGTTGTTACTGATGTATTTATAAAGGTTACTCGGGAACACGTGTATTTGTTTACTTTTAACACGTGTGTTTAAATCAAAACATGTTTATGTTTAATTTGATTGGACCATCAGTAAGTTATTACCGGTTTAAGTTATATCAATCATGATAACTTCATGCTAGAATTTTAGCGCTAAAATTATAATAAGATATCTAGAATTGTCATTCGAGGTTCGCCTATCCGACAGAAAGGTTCGTTTTTTCTTAAATCGCCACTTGGTAAAATGTCCGAATCTTCTCCACGTCTGGAATTGAATGAAGACATACTACTCGAAGGAGATAATAGTTTACCGCCACCTAATATTCATAAAGCAGCTGATAAGTCGTCTGATTTGGTAGATACTGTAGAGCTTTTTAAGACAATTTTAGACAGCAAGTTAGGTGAGTTGAAATCTGAACTCATACAAGAACAAGATTGCCTTAAGAGAAAAATTAAGGAGGACGTCACTCTAAAATTTAAGGGGGAAGGAAACAGAATTCAGTACGCCTTTAACGAGGAATTATTAGACACTGTTAATAAACTTTCAAAATTCATCCCTAACTCCAATACTCAAGCCTATAGATTAGTTCTTGACATAACTGATAAGATCAAAAGCCGTAATAAGAAAATACGCATAGCTGATGCTTCCCCTGCTGGTTGGGGAACCGTTAGGGAATACGAATCCAATGCCGTGGCTTCAGATTCTGAAGATGAGAGAAAGATACGACAAGCTGAGACCAGAGCTATCCGTACCTCCAAGGAGAAGTCAAAATCTCGCCAGCAACCTTACCCAAAAAATCCGCCTCGTCAACAACCTGCGGAATCTTATGGTAACCCTGCTTACGCTCAGCATTATCAACGTAATCAGCAACAGCCCTTTCGTGGGAGCTTCGCAAGGCGTGAGCCTTGCTCAATCGACACGTGCCACTACTGCAAGCAACAAGGCCACTGGAGAAAAAACTGTCCTCTTCTCGCCAGTCTCAGGTCATCCAACAGCAACTCCACAACCTACCAGAAGTAGTAAAGTAGGGCCTGAACGTCACTCTCCAGTCATTGTGAATGATAAGTATTTAGACACTATTAATGACCAATTTTCTACATGTTTTGTTGATAACGATTATATAGAATCTTTTTTAGATCAAGTTCAATATTTTGAAAATTGTCAGTCATATGATAAATTTAAAGGGGTGAAAGGTAGATTAGCTTGTCATGTAAAGTATTGGGAAAATATAGGTGCTTGTCCTTTTGTGCTTGATACAATAAAAAATGGTTATGTTATTCCATTTATAGATACACCTTTTAAAATGTACCACAGAAATAATAGATCAGCACGGCAGAATACTGAATTTGTCACAAAGTCAATTGAAGATTTAGTTCAAATAGGTTGCGTAATTAAAGTGCCTTTTCAACCATATGTGGTAAATCCATTGAGTGTTGCTACTCAAAAGTCCGGTAAGAAACGACTTATTTTAGATATGAGTCAATTGAATAAACACATAAAGCGCGAAAAAATAAAATTTGAGGATTGGAAGTTAGCTATACAATATTTTGACAAAGATATGTATCTGTTTAAGTTTGATTTAAAATCTGGTTATTTTCACTTAGACATATGCTCACAGCAACAGACTTTCTTAGGTTTTCAGTGGGAAGGTCAATTTTATTGCTATACTGTTTTAGCTTTCGGAATTACTACCGGTCCGTACATTTTTACTAAATGTTTGAGGCCACTAGTAAAATTTTGGCGTGGAAACGGTATAAAAGTTGTTTTGTATTTAGATGATGGATTTGGCATGAGTCCAGATGTAAATACATGTAATGAGCAATCGTCCTTCGTAAAAAGGTCTTTGATTGATGCTGGTTTCCTTATTAACGAGGAGAAGTCTGTTTTTAAACCTGTTACCGAGTTAGAATGGTTGGGAATAGTTTGGAACTCGAAAGAATACAAATTATCTATTACTCAACGTCGAGTTGACGATTTGATTTTCTCATTGAATGTAATTTTGGCTAAATTTCCCTATGTTACAGCTAGATCTTTAGCTCAGGTTGTAGGTAGAATTATTTCTATGACTCCCGTAATCGGAAATGTGGCTAGAATTATGTCAAAGTTCTGTTACATGGAAATTGAAAGTAGAATTGGGTGGGATATTCCCATTACAGGGTACAAACCCGTCGAGGTTTTATCAGAGTTAAAGTTCTGGTTAGAAAATGTCACCATGATTAACTATCGTAATTTATGTCATTACAGTAAATCTTCTGTTGTCATATACTCAGATGCTAGTAATATTGCCGCTGGTGCATACACCGTTGAATTAGAAAATAAGATTTTCCATAAGATGTGGACATGTAGTGAAACGGTACAAAGCTCCACATGGAGAGAGCTGAAAGCTATAGAGTTGGCCCTTTTTTCTTTTAAGAATAGTTTCACAGGAAAAACTATAAAGTGGTTTACTGACAATCAAAATTGTGTCAAAATTGTTAATTCGGGAAGTATGAAAGAAAATCTTCATGTTATAGCAAAATCTATTTTTTCATTTTGCATTCAAAAAGGAATATCAATTGACATTCAATGGATTCCCAGAAAAGAAAATGAAAAGGCTGATTATATCAGCAAAATGGTTGATTTCGAGGACTGGGGAGTCACACATATATTTTTCAATTTTTTAAATGATATGTGGGGTCCTTATTCGATTGACAGGTTTGCAAGTGTCGAAAATAGAAAAGTTATGAGATTTAACTCCTTATTTTGGCAACCTGATTCTGAAGCAGTTGATGCATTTTCTCAAGTTTGGACCAATGAAAATAATTGGCTAGTTCCACCAATTAATCTTGTGATACGATCGATTAAACACATTATAGCTTGTAAAGCTCGAGGCACGTTAGTTGTGCCTAAGTGGATTTCTGCTGCATTCTGGCCTTTGATATTCGATAAACATCTGATTTATCAAGATTACGTAAAAGATGTTATTGTGTTTAAAAATACTGATGGTATTTATAAGCAAGGTTCGAATAAGAATACGATATTCGGAATTGAACCGTTTGGTTCGCCAGTTTTGGCTGTTTTGCTAGATGCATCTTAGACATGGCCCTAATATATATAGATATATTTTAGCAGGCATGGTCTGTTTGTGACATGGCCCTAATATATATATAGATATATTGTAGCAGTCATGGTCTGTTTGTGACATGGCCCTAGTATATGTATATTGTAGCAGGCATGGGTGTTTATGTTGACATGGCCCTAGTATCGGTAATGATATTGTAGCAGGCTTGGTTTTTTATTTGACATGGCCCTAGTATCTATAATGATATTTTAGCAGGCATGGTAATTTGTTTTACAGTTTATGGCCCTAGTATCTATAAAGATATTGTAGCTGGCGTTGAAATATTTGAATATATATTATATTTTACTGTGTATAGAAATCTGAAATATGCTAATAATTCGTCCTCTGTATATGTATATAAAATGTTATTGCAATTTTACGTTTTTCAGATATTTTTTCAGTAGGACATTGGTCAGACTTTAATTCACAAGTTGCCTCTAATAATGATCTCAGCAGTTTGTTCAAACAGTTACCAGAATTCCTTCTTTCGTCCAAGGCTGCGAGTACTCAGAAGAAATATAGATATGCCTTCAATTCATGGTGTAAGTGGACTAGTCAATATTCTTTTTCACCATTGCCAGCATCTCATTTACATATTTCTTTATATTTAATTCATTTGTCTGAAACTGCAAAATCGGTTTCAAAATTAAATGATGCTTTTTACGCCATAAAATGGGCACATAAATTAGCTGGCGTTGCTGATCCCAGTGAAAATAATCTAGTTGCATCTGTTCTTGAAGGGGCTCATAGAAAAATAGGTCATTCAGTTGTCAAAAAAGAACCTATCACACCGCATATTTTGAAAAATATTGTATGTAAATATGCTAATAATACTTGTAATTTAAAAGATGTAAGAATAGCATGTATGTGTTTATTAGCCTATGCTGGCTTTTTAAGATTCTCCGAGTTAGCTAACTTGAGAAGGTCTGATATACAGTTTTCCCCTACTTACCTTACACTTCATTTAGTCAAGAGTAAAACTGATGTATATAGGGAAGGGAAAGATGTTGTCATTTCAAAAACAGGGAATATTACATGCCCGGTAGATGTACTTCAGCGTTATCTAAAGTTAGCTAACATTCCTGAAGAATCGAATGATTTTATTTTTAGATCTATTTGTTATTGTAAATCTTTGAATATATACAAACTTAGAAAGAGTAGTCATATTTCTTACACCAGAGCCAGAGAGTTATTGTTATCTGCACTTGACAGTTTAGGTCTTGATAAAAAACAGTTTGGCTTACATAGTTTGAGGTCAGGAGGAGCTACTGCCGCGGCAGAAGCTGGAATAGATGACCGGTTGTTTAAGAAACACGGGAGATGGAAAAGTGATAAAGCCAAAGATGGTTATGTTAAAGAGAGTATACTCAACAGATTGTCAGTATCTAAGAATTTAGGATTGTAATTTATATTGTTTGTCCCCCCTTTTTCTTTATGTCCCTTTCTTTATCAATCGAAGCTTTCTGTGCTGTCGGGGCGAGCTGATAACCAAAAACTGTGTTGAGTTTTTACTTTGTAAATGCTTTATGTTCGTTTGAAGTATTGAATAAGAACATAAATGTATTTATAAAGGTTACTCGGGAACACGTGTATTTGTTTACTTTTAACACGTGTGTTTAAATCAAAACATGTTTATGTTTAATTTGATTGGACCATCAGTAAGTTATTACCGGTTTAAGTTATATCAATCATGATAACTTCATGCTAGAATTTTAGCGCTAAAATTATAATAAGATATCTAGAATTGTCATTCGAGGTTCGCCTATCCGACAGAAAGGTTCGTTTTCCCACCCACCCACCCCTTTTATTAAGACTTCATAGGAATGTGAATCAGTATGTTATGTAGAAAATAGTTGATAAAATACATGTATGTAAATCGAAATGATTTTTTCTTCAACTTATAGAACATTTTTCTATTGTAGATTGTGTTTATATGTGATGGCAGCGGTCGATGACAGCAAATTGGACATTTGTTTATTGTTTATAATAAAAATAAGCTTTCTGTGCTGTCGGGGCGAGCTGATAACCAAAAACTGTGTTGAGTTTTTACTTTGTAAATGCTTTATGTTCGTTTGAAGTATTGAATAAGAACATAAATGTATTATATTACAATGTACACCTGAAGTTTTGTATACTTTGTATTAATAATAAAAAGAAATTTACCTTAATTCATTTAAATAGTGACAACTGTTTATGTCATATAATCTGACTGTAAATGTAAAATGTTTCCGAACGAAAAATTAAATAGCAAAAAAAAAAACTTTTTGGCTTTACAGAATATATATCAATTGAAATATGACTTTTATTAATTGCTGAGCTTAATCTGAAGCTTCTCATTGTGCAATTCAATACCAGAGCTTATAGAGCTTATAAACTCCGTGAATCAAATATGATTTAGTTCATCATAATATCCTTTACCTCCTGAAACATTGAGGTAAACTGGTTCGCTGTAGCTACTTCCCGCCAAGTTTGTAGCAAAACATGTATACCAGCCTTCATCTGTGTCCGCAACATTATATATTGTAAGTGATGTCGAAGTCAGGATTCCTCCGTCATACTTTCCGCTATTAGACTGAATAGACGTCATTCCTGAAGTTTCATTGCGCAGCCAAGAAACAGACAGTGGCGCTGGTATTCCACTAACGTTACATTTCATTGTTAGATTAGTTCCAAGTATAGTTGAATAAAAGTATGGTGAACCATCAACAGTTGGTGGATCTGTAATGAACAAGTCGATATTTAAGATAAAAAATATAAAAACAGTAGGATTTAATTAACGATTAGAATGTCAAGAAGGCAAAGTTGCAGAAAAGGAAAAAAATCAACCTGAAAATATGAATATAACAATTACCATAGCTGGCCGAATATTGTTAAAAAAAAAGGAGGAGAATTATTTTTGGACTGATCTTGTGAAGGTTAACTTGCGATTGTGACGCACAAAATTTGTAAAGAGTTATTTTTATTTTCAGGCTAAAATTTAAAAAGTCGAGTTATCGGTCCAACTCGATGTTCCAATTATTTACCCTTTAAAACAACTTTAATTTTAAATTACCAATATCTTTTCGTTGTTTTATTTCTGAACCCCAACCCTCAGTTTTATGTTGTGTCACCATTTGTATTACTAATATGCAAAAGACTGAAGAGTGAATTCATTATGTTAAGCTATCTTACAGATGCTGCTGTGTTGTGTGATACTTAGATAATTATACCTCCAAAAACTTGCACGGCAACAGGAGAACTGTATCCTGTCCCAAGATAATTACGAACTGTGCATTGGTATTGTCCAGTGTCATCAAAACTTATATTGAAGATCGATAGCGATGGTTCTATTGTTGTACTCCCAGAATATTTATCCTTATCTAAGTTGATATCAATGAAGTTTCCTGAAACATTGTAATTCCATTGTATACTGGTCGCTGGCGGATCGGAACTGTAGTTACATTTGATGGTAACATTATTACCTAGTATTGGTGTATATGATTCCTCGGGGATCTGTACAGTTGGTTTATCTAAACAATAAAGTACATACTATAATAATCATTACATGCTTAATTGTTAATGTATGCAAATAAGGAGATGTGGTAAGATGAGACAACTATCTACCAGAGTTCAAATGAGGTGGATATAACCACATATATGCCACCGTACGGTCTTTGACAATAAAAAAACCCACACCGTATAGTCAGCTATAAAAGGACTCCGAAATGAAAAATGTGAAAACAATTCAAACAAGAAACGTGTACGTATATGAATGTATGTATATATATGTATATGTCTAACATTCAAAAATTCAGATTTTGGTAGGTTCTATATGATTAAACTAAGATTAATTCATGTGTGACAGTGCATAATACTCATAGGTTATAATTAATGCCTTATCCTCTTAATATGAAATAATTCACATTACTTTTGTTATTGATTATTAATTTTATCTGAATTTTTCTTCAATACTACAATGACATAGGTGTGTTCTGACGCGGCGTTAAACAATCATCAATAAATAAATCGATCAATCAATCAATCGTCTGATGTATTTAAAAAAAAATTAAAAATTTATTTCAAAAGTCCATTGAGAAATTAAAGCCATTGTACAATTTGTCAAATGTGCAGCAAATGTTTTAATGCAATAACTAATTGTGATATGAAACTGAAATAAGTTATTTAAGGAATGACTGTAATATTTTTTTCTGTCTATGATAGTCACTCATGTCAATGAAATTTGGCTGATCTGATAAAAAAAAATGTTTTCACATTGCTGTCAAATTTTCACTCTTTAGGACCTGCTACATGCCTACAATAAAATTTCTGGAATCACTGGTCTTTATAGCCTAGATGATATATATTTTTATGAATTCTTTAACAAATTTCAAGGGTGTTGAGTATTATCATTTCATATATTCAAATAACTAGACTTAGTCATAAAAAAATGTTGATTGAAAATATGGAGACGATATCAATGGAACATTAAGACCAACAAGTCTACGAAAAAACGGACAAATGCATTACCAAAACAAAAAATAACGACAAAAAGACAAACAAATAAAATTGACAATGGAAATTGGGAATATGTCAAAGAGACAACAACCCGACCAAAGAGTAGATAACAGCCGAAGGCCACCAATGGGTCTTCAACGCAGCGAGAAAATCCCGCACCCGGAGGTGGTCCTCAGCTGGCCCCTAAATAAAATTGTGTACTGGTTCAGTGAAAATGGACGTCACACTAAACTCCAAAACATATAAAGGAACTAAAATTAAAAAAACATACAAGACTAACAAAGGCCAGAGGCTCCTGACTTGGGACAGGCGCAAAAATGCGGCGGGGTTATTCATGTTTTGTGAGATCTCAACCCTCCCCCTATACCTCTAGCTAATGTAGAATAAAGAAACACATAGCAATACGCACAGTAAACTCAGTTTAAAGTAAGTCCGAGTTCGATGTCAGAATAGGTAACAAAAGAAACTAAGCAAAATGACAATGATACATAAATTAACAAAGAACTACTAGCAGTTACTGACATGCCAGCTCCAGACCTCAATTAAACTGATTGAAAGATTATGTCTTCATCATATGAAAATCAGGTACAATCCCTCCCGTTAGGAATGTCCATATTATACTTCCCACAAAACTAAAATTGATCTATTTACTATTATGGGGTGTTTAAAGACCTTGACCACCCATGAGAGTCTCGCACGGTCGGTAAATTAAAACCTATCTAGATTCAGATTCAATATTTTATTAAAGTCTCACCACTTGTATAACATTATACCTATCTATTTGATATTAAACTGGTAGCAGTTTTAAAGTATTTAAATGTTATTTTGTCAAACATAATTAGTAGAAACTAACTATAAAGAGTTTAAAATTATGATTGATTCAAAAGTTTGTGTATTTAAATGATCACAATTTCAACATGATTTTTAATGCAAATTATAGTTTTCAAGTATATATTGCGTAATACAAATTCAATTGTACCTCCTAAAACATGCAGCGATGTAGGTGAACTCCTTCCAGTGCCTGCAGCATTAGTAGCCATACAAATGTATATTCCACCATCTGATAAATCAGCAAACAGAATAGTCAATGAAGGTGATGTTGTAGTACTTCCCTGGAATTCTTGGTAATCGGATGAAATAAATTCAATCACTCCAGAAACATTTCTTGTCCATTTAACCTCATGTACAGATGGGAAAGCAGAAACAGAGCAGTTAATTGTGACATTATTTCCAGCAGTGACATAGTACTTAGGTTCAAGAATATACACATCAGGAATATCTGAAAAAAATTAAAGTGTAATAATATTCATTTTGGATAAAACGTTAGGAATATAAATGCCTGATGCATTTCCACGTCTTTGTTTTAGATGGTCATAAAACACTTTAGACTACTTATTTCGCCATGACATAAAACAATGTTCTTAATTCAATAATGTCTAACAGACCTAAAGAGGAGGGACAGTGGTAATAAAATATTAATACAGGGACTATTTCCGCCGCGCAGCATTCTTCGTGTTGAAAGGCTGGCCGTATGTAAGATGTATAAGTACACAGTCACGTCAGGTAGAAATAAGGAAGCTTAAATCATTGCACCCTTAATGAAAATTATTCATACTCTTGATCACTCTTAGTAAGTAAACATAATCTTATAACACCCCAGGGGTTTGTAGTTCACCTGTTTTCAGGTAAATTTGCCAACCACAAGAAACACAGCCATTTTTATCAGTGACAGTCCTTCAACTCGGTCAAACCACTTTATATACTAGAAGTAGCATAAACAAATCATTTTTACAGAATTGGTTTGTTCTAGTCCTGAATATTTAAATCATCGGACAAATAATGCTAATGAAGGATATACATGTAAGTATACCTGGATTTCAGAAACTTGTAGATTAAAAACACGTTAAACAAATATCGAAAAGTGCTATGGGAGCGTTCATTTCGCGGGAGAAGAATTTAAGATCCATCGTCAATCCAAAAAAAACTCCAATGACGGAAGTTAGTAGAAGAATTGGTCCCTTTTACTTTAAACAAGTGCTGTAATAATGCTTTCCGGAAGTAAATTATCAAAAATAAGTAGCATTTGAAAGATTGAATTTCTGACACTGTGACAGTTTTACTTGTTGGATTGGCTTATCATATTTGTTGAATATCAATGTATGCAAAATGCCTAACTCAACATTCAACGATGTTCACTGGAGTGGTCATGGAACCTACTTGAGTTACTGATTGCATATAATTCAAGATTTTAACAGTGTCATTAGTTTTCACTTACTCTGATTTTTGTGTGATTTTGGATTCTGATAGTATCTTAGAGTTTAGAATATGCTTTATATCTAGGTATTTACATAAAAAAATATAACTGAGTACAATGCGAGCTTATAAGGTAAATGATGAATTTCTAAAATAAATAGTAGACCACCTTCTACTCTTGCTATCACATTTAATTGTATATCCGGACTGCTACCAGTTCCAACATAGTTTACAGCATGACACGAATATGTCCCAGCATCATCATAGGTAACATTCCGAATGGTTAAACTAGGAATTTCTTTCGTAGCACTACTGTATTTATCACTGAATGAAGCAGCTGTCAAGTTTTGGTTGTCTTGCTGCCAATACAGACCGGTAACTTGAGTTCCGAACAGCAGCTCACAATATAGAGTAACATCCTGGCTAATATTTGCAGTATATGTAAAGGATTCCACTCCAATTACAGGTGTGTCAACAACTGAAATCAAATGCATGTAAATTTTAGATAACATACATAAAACATGCATACATAAGCACACACATACATACATTACGTTCGCACATACATACATATCTACATACTTAAATTACTAGCTACATGTACTACCTATCTTCCCAAATACATACATACACTTTAATGCATTATTTGTTAGTACCCTGATCCATAATAAAATGGGGAGTGTTGAGAACTAACTCCAAATCTGGAACCTCATCACTGGCTTTTATATGACATATCTTAATGTTGTTTTTTATATTAAGAATAATTTGGCGTCCATTGCAGATGTTTGATGGTATCTGTTTAATGTATTCACCAATGAATAAATGTTGACACCATATGTCAAAATCGCAATGTCCTCGAGTCTAGACAAGTTGTTTACAAGAGAAACAACAAAAGATCTGCCAAACCACCGCAAATACTTCTGATGTGGCATCAAAGACTATAAAAACACAGGTTAAATTGAAAGAAATCGTAAAATGCAAGAATTACTGATGGTAAGATCAAATGCTTCAGTAACATCCATGTCATATTTATCATTCTGCTTGTTTTCCTTTACACAAGTTATGGGATGTTCAACTGTAATTAACATAGGGTTCACTATTTGCACAATCTAGCTTGTGATTTGTTGGGATTCAAGTGTTTATAAATACTACATGTACATGTTTTTTTTTTACATGTAAAACGCACTCATATTCAGACGATTTAAACCAGAAACTGGATACTTTTTATATATATACCGGTAGTTCCAAAATGGATTTTCTTTCATTTCGAGATAAAGGAGAGAGTGCAAATGAAACATAACATTGTTGATATTTAATTAGATGAAGCAATAACAAAGGAACCAGTGAGATATTTTTTTAAATCTGAAAATACAGACCCTCCCAATGCCATATTTTGACAAGTACACCAGCTCTTTGTGCATTTTTTAAAATAACATTTGCCATTATTAAAAACACGTGATATGAGTTTCGCGCGAAACACGCATGTTTCTTGAAAAAACTTTATCAGGTACGCTTGAGACCAAATGTAAAAAATGTACAAGGGTTGGATTGATTGATTGTTGGTTGCTTTACGTCCAGTGGCAAATAAATCATGCATGTTCAGGGCGAGAACAAATTAACAATAAATACAACAGGTAGGTCTTGTTATAGAAGCCGTCCAGGATGAAGGTCGGGGGGATTTGAACAGCCACGTCAAGATATCGGATAAGGACAGAAATTTTGCCTTGCAACAGGTCACTGTGGACCCCTCAAAGAGTTGTTGCAAGGGTTCTTAACGAACGTGCAAAGAGCATGACACTCTCTTTACATGAGGCATTAATTTAACGTCCTTATTCTGACCGGACGAGGCTGCGTACTTGTACATCCCGCATAGTCACTTTGGCAAGGGTTTTATTGGCGGTCGGAAGAAGACTAAATGACCAGTCACCCTTGGGGTTACAACATTGTAGACCACAATGGTATTTTTATAATATAACAGCCGAAATTGTTTAATGTCAAGTTTTTCTAAAGGAGTTTATCCTTATGATTAAACTTCAACACTATTACATTCTTTACGGAAAACGGAATTCTTTATGATTTGCAATTTGAACTTGTCAAAATAAAAATGAGAAAGGGAATAGAAGGAAGAGCGAGAATTATTAAATAAATGAAAATTAAAATACCAAACTTTTAAGAAGTTGAAATTTCAAGAGGGATTCCATAATTAAAACTCATTAAATATAAATTAATTTAATTACATGTTATTTTACTCTATATTCACAGAAAACATAATTTTAATAAGGTTGAGATAGACATGATAAAATTGACCGGTTTCTAAAGATAAGTTATAAAAAAAATGTATTCATACTGTCAGGAATAAAACAAGAGGTTTATGATGGAGACGATAAGACTCTCAACGTTAATATTTTTGAACACATTCGAAATCACACACTATGTAGCATCACCACTGAAATAAGTACACCCGAAGCGTCAGGAATAAAAAGTGAAGTAAGGTAAGGTCAAATTCTGTTATTTTCATTATATTTTACGTTTTGCTGACAAGTATGGTTTTCGGATACTGATTCCTAATAATGCAGCTACTATTTAGGGCTGATACTGACCCTTAATTGGTTTTCTCTCTCTTCAAACCGCCTCGGTGGTCTTGTGGTAGCGTGTTCGCCTCGAGTGCGGGAGGTCGTGGGTTCGAATCCCGGCCGTGTCAAACCAAAGACTTTAAAATTAATATTTGCTGCTTCTCCGCTAAGCACGCGGCATTAAGGAGTAAGAGCAAAGCTTGGAGTCAGAATAATGTGTCCTGGGGTAAGGTGACATGTCTTCCTGCGGACTATTACCCTGTGAACTAACACGTTAAAAATCCGGCTCAGCGTGTCGGTCTAGTACAAAGCAGGGCTAAATTTCATATTACATTAACATGTTCTCGTCCTGAATATGCATATTAATTTGCCGCTGGACGTTAAGCAGCCATCCATCATCATCATCTCTCTCTTCAAATCGTCAGAACCGGACCGGGTGGTACCTGTTCAAAGAAGCATTTAACGAGTTCAAAACACATTTATCCTTCAACTTTTCATTGGACGTTTTTTTGTAGGACAAAGTTATATCATACCAAAGCTTGAACAACGCTGTATTTCGAAATAAACTATTGTTTTCAGAACAATTCATCTGAATACAGCGGATAAATTGTTCGGCGAATAGTTTGTTTACTGAACTGGAAATAGAATAGATACCTTTTGCTATCATTGTTTCTTTGCTTCGGGGGTACCTATATCCGGTGGACACTGTTGGTGCTACACAGTGTCAAATATTATATTTAAAAAAAAATCTAGTATCAACATTTAGTTACCTCCCTTTACACATTTCATTCATTCTTCCTATAAGCATTTATCAACAGACTGCATAAAGATCAATATTTTTAATACAACTTTTCAATGAAAAAATTAAAAAAAACATCTCTGAAAGCAGCTCTCCCGAATTGAAAAAATGTGTCTACATCAACTGTTGTGGCGCAATAATCTGAATGACTTGTTGAGTGGATCAGTTGACATACCATTGTGCAATCATTACTAGTTTATCAAACAAGAACACAAAATAAAAATGGTTTTACATTTATTCCTGTAAACAAGTCTAACAGAGTCCTCTTACACAAGTCGTGCCAATGTACCCAATAGACAAATGAACAGCTAGACCATCATACCACCATACCCAAACCGAAATTACTGCGTACTATTTGTTATATTTGCTTGTTTCTACAATTCAAAAAAAGAGAATTTTCAAAAAAAATGCCACGTGACCATTTATAGCAGAGTAGAGGATCTGACAACACTTTGTTATACTTTCTGTTTAAAAGTCTTTTCGTGATCCTCTGGTTTTGTCGTACATTTATACATTTTTAAAAATTTGAAGGCTGAAATTTCGTTTGCTGATGGAATAATTACAAGAACAGAAAATAGACTGGACTGCTGTCAAATCCTTGTAGGTGGAACCTTCAAACAGGATCCGTATTTAATCAGATTGATTTATTAACTAGAACATACCACAGTAGTCAACTCCATTGTTGTCCACTACAAGTACATGTAACTCTGGACAGCTGCTCATATCGGAGTTCACACTGGCAGAAGTCTTGTTAATGTTGGATGTACCAGTGCTGCACACAAGAGTGCTACCATAAACCAACAGGTTCTGAGAATTAACGTTTAACTGTAAAAGCAGGGAACATGCATCTTTGTTTGATTCTGTTGTAAAAGTATCTCCGATCTCTATGTAGAATACAGTTGTTATCTGAAAAAAAAGTTTATATACAAATTTATGATGATGATGATGATGATGATGATGATGATGATGATGATGATGATGATGATGATGATGATGGGGTCCACTTCCTATATACAAGGTGATAGGACGTGCCGCTGGAATAGGTAACATTTTCCAGATTGAAAATATGTGAATAGGATGGAGACAACTATCAGAAATATATGATAAGGTCACTAAAATTCCCATTACTTGATTTTTTTTTGGTTCGGTTGCTAGATGTACTTTTTATTTTTTTTTTGTATTATTTGTTAATTCTTCTTCTTCTGTCATCTTTCTTGGTGTTCCCGGTTGTGTTTTTATCCACACATTTTCCCTCTTTTGACACTTTGTTATTTCCATTACACCACACGAAACCCAACCAATATGGGAAAAAGGTTACATCTTTTCCTACGCAATATATGAAAAGGTATTCATTTTCAAAATCTAAATAATATGAAAAGGGTGGGGTAACAGAACCCCATTGTTACCCTCTATCAATAAAGTATTGAAGTCCCCCCCCCCTTCCCCCCGAGTGAGGAGGAGAAAAAGGACAACGACGACGGTGTATACCATAAGATAACGCAGCTATAATCCAGGTTAGTCGGATCACACAAAATGATATTGAATTGTTCTGGATGTATTATACTTCAGTTAGTAGAAGTTGTTCTGATGATAAATTATAGCCAATTTGAAATTTGTTTTCTTAAAGTCGTTATGTAGGCAAAATTGTAAAAAACAGTATTTACAACAAAACTGCTTGTACGTGACACGGTCCTGTTGATGGAGATATCCCCTACACTGACGACTGGGTTGTTGCAATAGTATGATACTTGTTTCTCTAAGGTGACACGGTTATCCTCCAAGGCTTGCCTATGAGCATCAAGACAGTACAAGGCTATTCCAGTCGTCTTGTAATCTACTTCAAACCTCATCCAGAATGTGGCTGGTGTTCGATCTATAAAAGCAATAGATACTCTTAATTGTAAAAAGAATTATTTTAATAACAATAGATTTTATCCATTTGGTGTCCAGTTTTAAATGTAGGCAGCACCATTGCCTAATTCGGAAGTTTCCGTATTTCAAAGTACGTTTTCGAAACTTGCAGGTATTTTCTCGACCTACAGATGTTCTTAGTTAGAACGAACCGTTGTAGAAAATTGCTGGTATTTCTCGACCTACAGATGTGTTTAGTTAGAACGAACCATTGTAGAAATTTTTCTATGTAAAACATCGATAGTCTGCTTTTCCAACAAATTTGAAAGAAATATAATAAAGATAATTTCATCTTTCTTTAATTCGTCGAATGTTTCTCTGTTTTGGTCCAAATTATATACGCACGAAAATAAATAAATGATATTGTTAAATATGTTTTTAATATTTCCGAAAATCTAGATAAATGAACTGACTGCGTTTTGAAATCTATATTTTTTGTTCATTAAGAATTTAATGTGGTCATTGATATTGCTCGTAGCTTATCTAGACTCGGATATACTTTGAGCTTGACATATGATATAGGCACTTGTCAAATATCAAATATCATATGTTGACTTTTGATGGTCTTTAGAGTTATTTTCTTTCGTTCTTGTTCCCTTTTTACTTTAAAATCGACGGATATCCACACATCCTTACATTGATACCCTTATTGTATACCAAGTACTGTGTGGAAAGTTAACAAAACGATATGATTTTAACAAATAAAACGTGAATACTTTATGATAGTTTTTATCTTAGAAAAAAGTTGTTTATGGTTAGTCAGTTTTTTTTTTGTGTTCATATCTTAAAAGAAATATCAACATACATTTGCATTACTAGTTTGACGAAGACTTCTTTTTACTTGTTATCCCCCACCCCTTATTTATTGACAAACCACTTATTTCATATATCAACTTTTTTTTACTTGGAAAAAGTAATACGACGGGAGCAACTAGTCATGCTAGCACGATCTGCTTGCTCCCCGGATTACCTGTTAATCAATCCATTATAATGTTGTTTTCGTCGATTTTTTGTTTGCCATTGTGTTGTTTGCTTTTATTGGACTTTTGGTTTTGTATTGTCCCATTTGTATCTTCTTTTTTCTTTTTATTTAGTATGATTCTAATTTTAATATTTTAAATGCAAGGTAACCCGAAGTCTCAGACGTACAAGGAAATAGGAAAAGATTGACAATGTGCGCTTGCAAAAGCCATAAAACAATATTAAAAAAAATTTCACCCATTAGTCTCTTACTGCCAATCTTCAACCGCTTTGCAATACCCCGGGATTATATGTTACATTATAAAATATAGAGATGTGGTATGATTGCCAATGAGACAACTGTCCAACAGAGTACAAATAACATTGATTTAAGCAATTATATGTCACCATACGGACTTCAACAATAACAAAAAAAAAAACCACATATCATTTAGTCAGCTTCTAAAGGCCTCGTCATGACAAAATGCGAAACAATTCAAACGAATCATACTGTCTGATTTATGACAAAACATAAAAAAAATATATTATCATATAACAGACAGGAACTAACGACAACTCCCGAATTACCGACTTTTCATTTTTTCCCACGTTTAAAACATTGATAGCCGTATAAAAGGGCTGTGGACATCATCTGACCAATATAATTTACTAAAAAAAAGATAAATGAAATCCATCAAGATAATAATCACTGGAAACGTCATTAGGGTGTCTAAGTACTACTACATGTACAAATCTTGTCAACCGTAGAAGACCATCGACTTACATGTACATATGGCTATAGTAAGACTATAGGTTAGGAGGAGGGTTGGGCGCCCGCTAACATGTTTCACCCCGCCATATTATGTATGTGTCGGTAATTCAGTGGTTGTCGTTTTTTTTTGTCTATCATATTTGTTTTTTGTTCATTATTTTGTACATAAATTATGCCGTTAGGTTTCTCGTATGAACTGTTTTACATTTGTCATTTCTGGACCTTTTATAGCTGACTATGCGGTATAGGTTTTGCTCATTGTTGAAGGCCGTACAGTGACCTATAGTTGTTAATTTCTGTGTCATTTGGTCTATTGTGGAGAGTTGTCTCATTGGCAATCATACCCAATTTTCTTATTTTTATATATAGTATAATTATAGTTATAATGCTATATTTTCACAGTACGATATCAAACTACGTCCTTATAATCGATGAGCCACAAGTTAAAATGGTACAATAAATAAACATGTCGCTTAGTCAAAGGTAGTAGTTTCACCTAGACAACCGTTTCCTGGAACCGGGGGAGACCAAATATCATCATCAATACATTCGTATGTTTTTGTAGAATTGCCATCGTAAAACAGCTGATTGTGTACACATGACTCGGTACACGTCCTTGTTTGGTTTGAACAAACTGTATTAGACTTGATTTGTACTGGAAACGTCTCCACACAACCAAGAACTGAAATATGAGAACATTCCACTATTAAGGTATATTACATGGATTTTAAGTGTATTATTTCGTGTTCACATGTACATGTATGTCAGACTTTAAAAGAAGTTTGCACGTTTTTCAGAACATATAAAACAATACGACCTATGACTATGATTTGATTTTCATGTTGTGTTATTCGGCAATAATAACATGACTTATGCAATACATTTGATAAAGTACGACATGCTGTGCCGGAATGTTAACACACCTGTTCACAAAGTAACAGTTATTTCTTCCAAATACAACGTGTTTAACGAAGAGTTAGCATATACTAATTTTCAAGTGTTTCGTTTTACCCGACTGGGGATAAAACCCACCACCTCCCGCACTCGTGGCTAGCACGATACAACGAGATGCCCTAAGCGGTTACTAAAAAAAAAACTCAACTACTCTGTGTGATTTAATTTGCATTGACGTAAAGACATTTTGTCTTTTCTTGTTGAGACTATATGTTGATATGTAGATGCATTTAATTAATTGTATTAGGATGGTGTCCCCTTGACTTATAAACAGCTACTCTTTTTTATATCCCCCAGACATTTGTTTTCGGTCTTGTTAACAATGTTTAGATTTTGTGATCGCTGTTGTTTTCAAACATTTGCAAAGATTCTTTCGTGTGCGTATCACTGTGAGCGCAATAACTTAAGTATATATCTTAATTATTTGAATTTTTGAACAAATAATGCGAACGAAGGGCGTTTTGAAATAAGATTGTTTCTACATTTAAAATGTTTTAACTTTATATAAGTCTCAAAGGATAATTTTATTGCAAAAATTAAACGTTTTAAGGAGGTATTACTTTTACACCGCCACCGATAGAAACGTATGATTAAACAGAAGATCGCACTCAGACATTAGACTAGGAAATAGCATAGAACCATTTGAAGTACGGTTCTCCTGCTGTTTTAACCCTTGAAAACATTTTCAATGAACATGTATAGTCATTTTTGTACATGTATCGTGTTGGATTGTGTGAACTATCTAGAATCGCATACCTTGATACACCAAGAGCTGTATTGCTATTAGTATAAATAAGATCACCATTTCATTTCATGTTTTCAGCTTTGGTTCTTCGATGATGTGATGGTTATCTATTAAGGAAAACAATTATAAGATGCAGTAATCAATCCGATCCTTGTGGACGCTGTAATGAGCAAAAATAAAAATATCTGGATATGATCTTTAAACGAATTTCAATATTGGGGATGGTATAAGCGGCAAATACTTCATGCACATTCATAATAACAATTAAACGAACATAAAAAACTGTAGGTACATTTGTGTACTGCGAAGTTGCTAGACGGGGATGAAATTCGGGGAATTTTGAATAAAAAAAAGAGAATGTATGTGAAGGCCACTTTTCGTTCCCTTGAAAATCAAAATGTATAAACATTTATATCAAACCACATATTCAGTAGTTAAAAATACGTAAGTCTGTCAGAAATCAATATTTATATATTATGATTTAATCTTGTATATTTGCTTGATTACTTTTAATTATTGCATTAAATGCTGACTGCAAAAATCTGTCAAACCATATCACCTACGGACCCAACACAGTTGTTTTAATGGTCCATTAACTGACTTGCCTGACTGATTGCCGCTCTGCTGAATATTTACTGCTGGGTCCAAGTTATCATATTTCGTTACCCTTGTGGTATGATTAATTTGAGAGTGGGGTTTGGGGTTGGCTTAATAATATGAAGACTTGAATGCATTCAAGGAGTTAATTCCTGTTAAAAAAAATACATGTCCTTTAATGAAGACGTTTTACATTTTTGTTGTACTATACACACATTTTGTTGCTATACGTGGATGTTTATACAGTTTAGCAACAATGAGTAACTTTTGGTGGGTATAAGTTTTTAACCCTGAAAAAAACATTATTTGAGAAAATTCAACACAGTAAGTACAAGAGTTGACCAGGATATATAACTATGTTCGTCGGGACTTTTCCCACCAACCCGGGAAAGGCTGGCTAGCCTTAAAATTGTGCGGGATATATAAATACGCAGCCATGTCTAGTCTGGACGTCACATCCGATGTCTTATGTAGGAAGAATGATACCCTCGTTGTATGTTGAAAACCTCTGCAGTTATGATGTAAACATTTACTCTTATCAACATCCCCCTTTATGCAGTAGTAGTCTTTCATTTGCCGATCTTAATCCAGGTTACTTTTAGTATCCTAGTGGTATTTTATTTAAATCTCCTGTCATGAAAGACCGAATCATAAAATCTTCAAATAATGTTATAAATGCAAGACTTCAGTGATTTTATATTTCATTGTTTAACACAAAACTAAACATGTATTGCTATCTAATTATTAACATATATGGATCTACATCCTGTTGATACTTATATTATAGCATTGCCCGACTAGGCGCTTTTCTCAGACTGCTTATGACGTCTTTACACAGACCCACGGGATATACAATGATTGATACTTTAGTCTGGGAAAGCATGGTTTATTTATTTGCTGGTACTATTTGCTGGTACTGAGCTTTGAACTATCTTTCAGTAACTTAATGTACTCTTAGATCGGTACTTGTGTCATTGTTTATATGTTTTTGTGCTTAGCTGCTAAGCAACGATCTGATAATTCTAGCTTCTCCAACCAATTTCTGATACAGTTTGGTCTTATTTTGTGTTGTTTCACCCTTGCTACAAACTGGGAAAAAGGTTGGGTGGTTGTTATGTGGTATGAGGAAAGGGTCACAAAACATGTTTAACCCTCTGCACTCTTTACAAGTCTTTGGTTGCTGTCTATCATATGTTTTGTTTTTTTAAATTGCTGAAGGATAAATCAGATCGCTATTTTTTTTTCTGTCTGTTTAAAGCTTACTAAAACGATATGAAGACCGTACGGTGACCTCTAAGTGTTCACATTTTTGTCCGTTGGTATTTAATAGTTGTCACATTGGCAATACTATCACATTTCCTTATTTTTATACTGACAGTTAGACTGTATCACATTGGCAATACTATCACATTCCCTTATTTTAAGACTGACAGTTAGAATGTATCACATTGGTAATACTATCACATTTCCTTATATTTAGACTAACAGTTAGACTGTATCACATATAGCAAAAGAATTTTTGAATAACACGTTGGATAATATCTGATTTCACACCTATGGCGGTTGCTGTTAGTGTTCAATTATCTTTTATTTCAGAGTTTTAAAATAATTGTACCGCTTGTCAACGATTTTAGTAAAACAAGATGTGAGGTATATACATTAATGAAACAGCAACAAAACAACACAAACTCAAATAAAAGATATCTAGAGGTCAGCATACGGGTTATAGCTTGCTGTTCGGTGTGAGCCAAGGCTCCGTGTTGAAGACCGTACTTTGACCTATAATGGTTTACTTTTACAAATTATGACTTGAATGGAGAGTTTTCTCATTGGCACTCATACCACATCTTCTTATATCTATTGAACAAATTGTGTTTTTCGTATACAACTAACATAGTGTCGTATTAGTACACGTAGTACTTTAATTTTCTTCAATTGTAACGCTAATGAGACGGGTACTAGTAATTGAGAATGTACATGTACATGTCTGGTGATGCTCCATGTGCACACAGTCATCGTTATATCCTCACTAGTATTGGATTTTCTTAAAAAATCCTGCCATTTGTTTCGGTTGTTATAACAAAATTTCAATTTTACCAATTTTGTAATTAAATAAAAAGTTCATTTAGTTTAATGGTATTTTATTGAAAAGAAAAGCAAAAAGCTTTGAACACAAATTATAATTACAAAATTAGAGAAGTCCTCTTCTTATAAAAATATAATCACAAAAACATTAAATCACAACGAAAACATGATATGAATGTACAGATGTATTTTCTACAAATAAAAAAAGAAGGAAATTGAACAATTTAAGGTAAAATATAAGATAAAAGTAGACTGGAGTGGTGTGAGTAAGTGCAAATTCAAGTGTTAGAAATATGTTCTGAATCTTTTTGTTTCTGTACAGAATTAAAAAAAATCTATATTTTGCTCAACTGTAAGGTACAAAGAAGTAAATATTATTTTTTTATACTCCACAATACAGTACACTATCCAAAGGGTTTCATTTTCATATATATAAAAGAGGATCTGGATGGGTTTTACAGAATAGAAATATAATGGGCAAAAGTGCAGAATGGCCAAAAAAATAAAGAAAATAGAATAATCAGCTAAAAAAGAAGAGAATAATGGTGTGTTGAAAAATAAAAAATAGAGAATAATGGAGGGGTGGACAGGGGGTTCCTGATTCCAACTTCCCTACCCCTAAGTCCCACTAACCTCCCTCTGACTTCCACTTCCCTCCCCTCATACTCCTGCTTTCCTCCTCCTTACTCCCAGACGAAATTGATCAAAACTTTTTCCCCAGAACATCTCTATTTGTACTCCCCTCTTTCATCGGTTACTGCCAATGACTCCCGCTTCCTGCCCCCTCATTCCCATGTTCCCTTAACCTTGACCATCCCCTCATTATGATGCTGAAATATAATGGATAGAGAAAAATGGTATAAAGAATTAAGAATAAAGATATGAAGGCCCCACGTCCAGCCCCTCACAAAATTATGAAAGTTCAGGCCTCTTTGTACTTAGTGATTTAAGCTGGATGCTGTTTAAGAATGAGCTATAAATAGTTATTCATATTTGAAAATATTAAAAACAGTGTTCAAACTGATCAATCATGTTACACATGTATATGTAATTTGAATATTGTATGTTTATTTTTGTTAATTAAAAATGCGTAAATAATTAACTAAAACTGAAACCACTTCATGTATATAGATCGGAAAGTGATATAATTTTTCACTTAGTTTGATTTTATCTCTCTATTTTTCCTAGTTAGAAATATTTCCTTTGAGCAGTTGCTAACCATATTGATGAAAGCAAACTTTTAAAAGTAGAAATCGATCTATATCTCGTGGTGTTCCGCGAATGCGTGGAAGTGTCATCTGAAGTTGAAAAGGAAACAAAGATGAAAAAACACTTAACAAACGGAAAGTTGACAATGTATTGTATCAATCACTTACGTACTTACTAATCTCTCATCGTCAGCTTATTTCCGGAAATCAGTATTTTCTTTCAATAAAATCTACTTCCTTCTTTCGCGTTACAACATGAATTGGATCACAACTACAAATGTAGTAATTATACGGATCGTTTTACAGATATTTGACTTTAAATATACTGAACAATGAAATAAAAGAAGACTGTATTTATAAATATGTTCAATAAAAACACGCTACACCAAACCACAACTGCCAATTGTTTTTATAAAGTTAGATGGAGGTCTAAATTAAAATCCATATAGTTTTTTAATAATTTGCCAAAATGTACATTATATCATGTTTTTTTTTTCAATAAAAAGTAAGGGTCACCGGGCCTTTTTTCAAGCTACAGGTTATACAAAATTGTCAGATTTTGAATAGATTGTTGATAGAGTCCAAACGTTTGAGTGATAAAAAGAAACCTAAACCATAGAATTCGAAAATAAAATATAAGAAGATAGATCTTATAATGTGCTTTCAGAAAATAAAAAGAAAAATTGAGGACACGGGACTCGTTTTCTTGCTACTAAACCAAATACGTGAATTCATAACACATTCCTTTATAAAAAATACATTATTTCAGTTATCTCCCTTTATATGGCAAAGTTGAAAAAAAAAACAAAACAAAAAAAAAACAAAAAAAAAAAAACAAAAAAAAAACAAACATGAATTTTCCGTTTTCAATCTTTAAAATATGATAAACACATGATTTTTATTATCTAAATGAAAATTCTCACAAATGAATTCCATTCTTCTCTCAAAATTTGCAGATTTCATTAAAGATCTTGACCGATTGTTTTCTGTTATTTTACAATCCAAGATGGCGGAAGACATCCGATCTACTTTAAGATCGTCTGAAGTAATTTCCCCTAAAACGGGGCAGTATATGAGTTTTTTTTTCAAATTACTTGAAATCAATGAGCATGGTTAAAAATGTTGGCATTCCGCCACAATTATAAAGAAGTTTCATTACTTAATAAACGCGTTTCTCCCCACGGTCTGAAGAACTGACAGCAATCGATCAACGCGTTATAACAAGAATTAATCGGTGACAAATCTGAAAATTAAATGTACATGTATGTACGATAATACTACGCTTCAAAGTGTATTCTTTGAAATTTACACTTATAGATCAACGTATTTAAATTAAGGCTTCACGCGTTTGATGGTTTATGCTCAGAGTACTCACTAAGACAATTACCATTCCAGGGTTTTGATCATGCACGAGTATATAACGATAAGGAGATGTAGTATAATGGCCAATAAGACAACTATCCACTACAGATCAAATTACACGGATGTAAGTAACGCATTCCCATGGTAACCTTTATGTCTAAATATATGATAAACGGGACAACTTTACGTTTCTCTTTAATTTTTGTTTCTTGACAATGGCGTTTCAACGGCTCTTTTAAAAAAAATTAAAACTGGGAGAGGTGATAATAAAACACATAAGTCGGAGTTAACAGACACCATTATGGCAAAACGAAAAACGATGAAAACAATCATATATATACAACATCTTACAACACATAAAACAAACAAAATTAAAGATTATGCATGCAAAACGAATAAATCGAAAAAAAAAAATCAACATACAAAATGAGTCAATCGTTAAGTCATCGAGTGTAACGTATTAACGATTGAACAGGCAGTTGTGTATAATACTGTCAGTTTAAAGTTCAATAATATGTTAATTTAAATTGCTGCAAACAAATACAATATTACAATGAAGGACAATAAAACAAAATGGCGTTACGGATTTTGAATTAAAGTGGTGTAATTTAACTGATTCTATAGAATGTAAATGTATCATGGGAAATATTCGTTAAACTTTTGACAGATGTAAATTGATAAAGAATACTTTGTTATCGATCACTTCTGTGTTAACGATTTAGAAGAATATTTTATAAATAATTTGCAATTATTTTTGGTGGTTGGTAAAACAAATTACGTATATCCAGATTCGTTCCGGGTCATCGGCTTGAAACGGAAATGAAACAAATTTCCTTATTGAGTTTAAATAATCAACATTCTTTGTATTAAAATAGTTTGTGAATTGATCTGAGGGTAAATTTTATTGATTGAGTTCAAGTGTATTTTTTAGTTCATTCACTTATTTCGAATTTTGACATGAATCGAATTTGGACTTTTGATTTTTTCTTTCGCAGAAGTACTAATTCTATGCAAGATAAAATGTAATAAACGAATATTCATCAGGGCAGGAAAGCTATATATACAATAAAGTAACACATTAAAATGATTGATAACAACAATAAAAAAAAAACACCATGTAAATGAACAGATAAACATAAAAAGCTGTATCGTGCAAAATTAAAAAAACAAAACAAAATATTTTACATGACAGTAGTACACTCTCTCTACCTCTTGATAACAAAATGACCAAGGTGTGCACTTTAACACAAACTCTTTAGATTAAATTTTCTAAGTTTGTATGACTTTTAAAAATATTCGAATGAAAAATGACCCTGCAGACCTTCCAGTTTTATTGCCGGTTATATAGTTACGGCCTGACTGACATACAAGCAATATTCTCATCTGAAAGTGGAACTTCGGGGATTTATAGTCAGATTGATATGAATTTTTGAAATACTTAGTGTGAGGGTCTTGATGGGGATGAATTCATTGATGTATTCTTTAGTTTTTAGGCCATTAATCTCTATTCCTTTATTTTTGCTGTCAATTGTTCACCAACTTTTTATATGTTAGTTTCCCATTATTCTTTTTTCTATTAACCCCATCCAGATCCTCTTAACATTTTTGCGAATGTACAATTTATACACTTCAAACTGTTAAAACATGTTTCCATATTTAAGCATGTCATAAAACATGTTTAATGCCGCCGCATTTTTGCGCCTGTCCCAAGTCGGAGCCTCTGGCCTTTGTTAGTCATGTATGTTTTTTAATTTTAGTTCATTTATATGTTTTGGAGTTTAGTGTGACGTCCATTTTCACTGAACTAGTACACATTTTTATTTAGGGGCCAGATGAAGCCCGCCTCCGGGTGCGGGATTTTTTTTGCTGTGTTGAAGATCCATTGGTGGCCTTCGGCTGTTTTCTACTCTTTGGTCGGGTTGTTGTCTCTTTGACGTATTCCCCATTTCCATTCTCAATTCTGTTAAAACAATACTTGGGATAAAATATCAGTTTTAAAGAGGTTATTGATCTGAAATTTCTGGTAATGGAAATTACAAATTACACGGATGTAAGTAACTCATTCCCATGGTAACCTTTATGTCTAAATATATGATAAACGGGACAACTTTAGTTTTCTCCTTTAATTTGGTTTCTTGACGATGGCGTTTCGTCCGCTCTTTTAAACAAAAATAAAACAGGGAGAGGGGATAATAAAACACACAAGTTGGAGTTAACCCACACCATTATGGCGAAACGAAAAACAAATTAAGACATACAACATTCTACAAAACATATAAAACAAACAAAAATAAAGATTATGCATGCAAAACGAATAAATAAAAACAAAAAACAAAACAAAAAGAACATGCAAAATGAGTCAATCGCTAAGTCATCGAGTATAACGTATTAACGATTGAACAGTCAGTTGTGTATGATACTATCAGTTTAATGTTCAATAATATGTTAATTTAAATTGCTACAAACAAATATAATATTACAATGAAGGACAATGAAACAAAATGGCGTTACGGATTTTGAATTAAAGTGGTGTAATGTAGTTCCGATTAGAATGTAAATGTAGCATGGGAAATATTCGTTTAACTTTTGACAGATGTCAATTAATCAGGAGTATTTTGTTATAGAACACTTATGTTTTAACGATTTCAAAGAATATTTTATAAAAAAATATGCAATTATCTCTGGTGGTTGGTAAAAAATGACGTATATCTAGACTAGATACATTCCAGGTCATCGACTTGAATCGGAAATGAAACAAATTTTCTTATTAAATTTAAATAATCAAAATTCTGTGCATTAGAATAGTTTGTAAATTGATCTGAGGGTAAATTTTATTGATTGAGTTCAAGTGTATTTTTAGTTCATTAACTTATTGCGAATTTTTACATGAATCGAATTTGGACTAATAAACGAATATTCATCAGGGCTGGAAAGCTATATATACAATATAGTAACACATTAAAATAATTGATAACAACAATTAAAAAAAAACCATGTAAATGAAAAGATAAACATCAAAAAGCTGTATCGTGCAAAATTAAAAAAAAGCAAAACATTTTTTACATGACAGTAGAACATTCTTTCTATCTCTTGATAACAAAATGACCAAGATGTGCACTTTAACAAAAACATTTTAGATTAAATTCTCTCTCTCTCTCTCTCTATCTCTTTTTTTTCTCACACACAAACACACTGCAATGGTGGGTGTATGACTTTTAAAAAGTATTCGAAATCAAAAATGACACTGCAGACCTTCCAGTTTTATTGTTAATTTTTAAAGTTACGGCTTGACTTACACACAAGCAATATTTTCATCTGAAAGAAGAACTTCGGTTATTTCGAGTCAGATTGATCTGAAGTTTTGGAATACTTAGTGCGAGGGTCTGAATGAGGATGTATTTATTTATGTATACTTTAGTTTTTAGGCCATTAATCTCTATTCCTTTATTTTTGCTGTCAATCGTTACCCAACTTTGTATATGTTAGTTCTATTTTCTATTAATCCCATCCAGATCCTCTTAACATTTTTGCGAATGTACAAGTGATACACTTCAAACTGTTAAAACATATTCGATATTTAAACATGTTTAAAACAATACTTGACTAGAAAAAAAAATCAGTTATAAAGAGGTTATTGATCTGAACTATCTGGTAATGGATCAGCTTTCCTTGTGAAATCGATATCAACATAGTCAGTCCTGTTTTCAGCTCCAATGATACGACGTCGTTTTGGCTTCTTTGTGAAGGATACTTCTATGTATGTCAAACCATCCTTATTTTTGCTCTTTAAAATAAAAGTTGAAATCACTTATAAGATCGACGTATAATTTAGGTCCTTGTTAGTGTTGATACTTAGAAATTGTTAAATATTCTACTGCATTTGTCAAATTCATGAGTGCGTACTTAAAATAACACTTCCTTCTTTTTTTAGTTAAAATTATATCTCATTTTAATAGAAAAAAAATACATAAAATAAACTATACAATTCTTGTGTACAATTTGGAGTTTAGTATGGCGTTCATTATCACTGAACTAGTATATATATTTGTTTAGGGGCCAGCTGAAGGACGCCTCCGGGTGCGGGAATTTCTCGCTGCATTGAAGACCTGTTGGTGACCTTCTGCTGTTGTCTGTTCTATGGTCGGGTTGTTGTCTCTTTGACACATTCCCCATTTCCATTCTCAATTTTATACTATGCGAAATGTCATTAAGGTAGTTGGGGTGTCTAAATGTTCGACGATATATTTTCCTTATACTTCTGTAAAAGTCTTCTGGGTCAATGTACTTTCAAAATTCTATATAAAAACTGGGGGTCACGGATCTTGTTTTTTCGTTAAAATACATTGAAATTAACGAAATCACAGTTATTCAATATGGGTTTGTATAGGAGAAACTTACTTTTTTCCTTATTGAGGAAACATTAAACAATAGAATTGGTTAAAATTCAATGATAAAATTTCTTTTCATAAATACATCCGAAATATTAAATAAAAAAGGGGTCACGGCCTTATTTTTCTTGAAAAATCCAATTTGTCCTATTAAATTTAATATAAATATCTGCCCTTGATTTAAAAGGATTTCTTTTCTGAAAATTTAAAATACACTTAACTACACTTAATTTTTTGATAGTTTAATATTTAAATTTTAAATTTCAAAAGTTTCTGTTGTATATTGAATGATACTTGGTAAAATATTTTAAAACCAAAAAAGTATTTTTGCAACATAACCAGAAGGGATGCTCAGAAAAAGACACCCGATCTACCTTAAGTTAATAAAGACATATTAATAGAGATATGACGGATAGCGTTTGAGTGCACGAATGGCTCCCACCCCATACGGTCGCATTACTAATAATTAATCACAGCATTTGAATGAAATGCTTTTCTAAGTTATAACAATTTTATTGGGATTGATGGTATATGTTGATAATAGTATATCAAATTGAATAAGACTTATTATCCACTAAAAGACTAATAGCTTAATTTATAAATCTTCCAATTACAAAATGTAAGTACCCGACCTGTTTTTTAAGAGGGGTGTTTTCTGGACACATTTTTTAATGATTCTATTGGCAACATGTTCTATAATAAATAACACAGAAAATAGATGTTTTTTGTAACTCAATATCGTATTTGTTTTTATCCTTAATTTTCTATTCACTTCCCTTAAGATACAAATTATTTATTCAAGAAATTAACAATCAATCAATGTATTAAACTAATGCTCTTATTAAGCCTTGACAAACGTAACAAGTGCTTATTACAACTTGTCATTAGCAATAAAAAAGCTGTAAAATATGTTTGTGCTAGGATGTATAATTCGTAGTTGTCATATAAAAATAAGGCTATACAATTTTCTTACTTTTTGAAGCATACATGTATGTTATAAACCATATTGCAAGTATCATTTTCTACACGTGATATAGGAATTTTTTTCTACACAAGAAAGACAAATTGCAAAGAAAAACATATATTAAGTTAAACAAACCCGTCCAGATGGCTTTGTTTTCAACGGTTGATGTATAAGCAAATCTGCATCGCCTTGATTTGCATATACATTGTCGTTCTCTGTGTAATCTATCTCTAAAAAATAATTAAAAAATCGAATGTTAATGGTTGATAGAAGATGGGTGTAGTATGACAATGAAGGAAACATTACAAGAAAATGTTATCGAAAGTGGACATCGATGATAGCTTACCCTTCCGGAGAACCTAGTAATATCACCCACTGTTTTTGGTGGGGTTCGTGTTGCTCAGTTTATAGTTTTCCATGTTGTGTTTTGTTTACTGTTGTTTGTCTTTTGGTCTTCTTTTTTTTAGCCATGGCGTTGTCAGTTTATTTTCGACTTAGTAGTTTGAATGTCCCTTTGGTATCTTTCGCTTCTCTTTGATGGTTTGGGATTCTTTTTTAACAAATCAAAATGTTGATAAAGATGATATTTTATTCAATGCCAAACATAGCATTCTAACAACTGATAGAAGCACAACTTTTAAGGAGATACACTCGGTCGCAGAGTCACAAAACATGTTTAAAGTCGCCGCATTTTTGCGCCTGGTCTAAGTCAGGAACTTCTAGCCTTTGTTAGTCTTATGTGTTTTTAAAATTTTGGTTCATTTGTATGTATTGAATTTTAGTGTGGCGTCTATTTCGCTGAACCATTATACGTTATTGTTTAGGGGCAAATTGAAGCCCGCTTCCGGGTGCTGGATTCTCTCGTTACGTTGAAGACCTATTGGTGACCTTGGGCTATTTTCTGCTCTTTGTTTGGATTGTTGTCTTTTTGACACATTCCCAATTTCCATTCTCTATTCTATAAGTATTTGGAGAAAATGACATTTGACCACACTATAAACTGTAATCGTTCACAAATCTACACACCAATACTACAAAATAAATCATCTTTACGATCAAATTTACAACTAACGTAGCTAACTGTTACTGATCCTGACGATTTGCACTCAGTCTAGTTCGAAAGTTTACTCGTCATAATTTTGGTGAAAAAAACATTGGCTCTAGCTTGTTTTTTTTTATTTGATTTTATTGTAATTTCAACATGACCACAATGTAAATAGCTTACTTTTATTTGATTTGTCCACAACTGCATATTCATCGTTTGCTGATTCAGTTACGTCTTCTGAAATACAATAAACTAGTAAATTGAAGTTATACTCCCTCCCCACAAAAAAAAACTAGTAAATTGAAGTAATACTCCCTCCCCACAAAAAATAAAATAAAAAGAATAACAAATAACAAATAACAAATAAAAAAGGAGAAAAAAAGTCGACGTTTGGTACGTTTTGTGAAGTACATGTATAGACATCATTAACTGTTTGATTTCCAGAAAAACAACATTATGATTTGGAATGAAGTTTCAAAAATAAAACGAAATGCCCATCTATGTCCATTTGGTGTTACATGTAAAGTTTATGGATAGTTGTTTCATCAAAAATCATACCACTTCAACTTATTTTTTTTTTTATATCGTATGCATTTCTATTTACATCTATATTAAGAAAAAATGTAAAACTAACAATTTAATTTGCACAAGGTTATCTCAATATAAACCAAGTGTAAATTAAAAAAAAAGGAACGATAGATGTCAGTGACAATCGTTAAACTGATTTCCGACTATATTTATTTTTACTATTCTTACTTATAATCGCATGTATCACTGAAACTGATATATAAATCAAAGACCAATACACCACATTCTGACTACAACCCAGAGTACTATGTTCGTTAATACACTTTGTGTTTATTAACTGACAAAGATTAAAAGGGGGGGATGAGATCATTTTAATTATTTGCTTATTCCCGTATTAAACTCATGTGTCTGTCACAAGTCAGGAATCTCGTCTGGTTATCTTATGTTATAATAATGCTTTGTTATTTTAAAAATTATTGTTGATGGCTGATATTTGATTTTTTTCTGCTAAATTCATTCACAGACTTTATAAAGTTTGGATGATTTAGAGATTTGTATTTTGTATAGACATCGGCCTATCGGTGAAGCCTGTATATTGCTCTATAAATATCTTTTGCTTAATTTTGTCGTTGGGTTGCTATATCATTGATATATCATATATCTCCATTTATCTGGCATGGTTATATGTTTCGGACATTGGCATTAAGCTCACTTTTGAGCTATTTCATATTTTCAATTTTTCCAATAGTTATCATGGTTATAGATATTTATAATTATTTCCGGTAGCTTGACATATAATTAAATACTTTTGACATAGTGTTTTGTTGAAATATTTTTCATTAATACAAATTTGTATACCACGAGTTGTCATATGTAAAAAAAAACAGTATTTCAAAAATTGACTCTTATTTCTCCCATAAAATTGTATCACATGATACATTGTACATGCGTCATTTAATCCTGGCTACTTCAGATCTATCAGAAAAACTGAGTTTATAAGTAATAGAAATGTGGTATGCTTGCCATTGAAACAACTAGACCATACCCGCGACATCGCGGGTCCGTGACTGAACTATTTTTAGCCTGGATTTTTAGAATTCGTATTGTCATTTGGCAAAGTCACGCTGATTATAAGGTGCACAGTTATTCCCTGTATAATGACGAAGTTCAGGAAGTTCAGGTGTGATTATTACCCGTTTTTATAGCAATTCCTGAATACACCGTTTGGTTTTTCGCCTGACAGAGGTGGAACGTACAGATCAGGTAATTTTGTGACAAATACTATTGGAATCGCTATCGGATTCGACCCGGAACTTGTTAATTATAGGTAATATTAATTATGTGGAAAACAAAAGGGCCTGGAATGGTGTATTTTTTTATAATATACACCATTGTCATATATTATTACTATATATATAATAAAATATTAATTTTCGCGAACCATTTAGGTCACAGAAATTCCAAAAAATGGCATCAGTAAGGAGAGTTGTACAAATGATGTGAATACACAGAACCCGGATCCAATTTATCTTTTACTAAAAGTATTCATCATTTTCTGTTTTGTATGTACTAACAACATTTCATTTTTCTACAATTTCGATTAAAATATTATAAAACCTGCAGTTCAATAGGTCACATGCCCCAAATAAACATTCCCCGATTGGTCGAACTACTGTGGCCTCGGTGTAAAGCAACGCAAGCCTCGATGTAAAGATCACGCTTCCAAAAATAGAGGTATGTCCCAACTTAACATTCCCCGATTGGTTGAATTGCTGCTCGATGTAAAGCAACGGAAGCCTTGATGCAATGAAGAAAAGGGGTTGACAGGATAAACGTAATCGTTATGAATTTTAACTTCATGGTTCTTATGCAAGCAAATTTAATAAACAATGATTTTATACAGTTGTGTTATTGTTTTCACCTTACATAGGGCTTTATTTCTGATCTTATTTCTGTGTACACAATTCTGAATCTACATATTTCACCTACATCAATATTAGGTAATCCGTTTGGACGATTCCATATACTATTATGTTTTAGGGTTTTATAGCTTTAGTGTCGAGTTGGTGTATAGTATTGAGGGCTATCTGCGAGAAATAAATCCTTTTTTCTGATGGATTAACTAAATTCAAAACCAATATAAAAATAGTTAACACATATATTTTATTTAACTGAGTAAATTGATCGGAATGTGAATGATACATAAACCTAAAATTCGTTTTGGTCTATCCCAGCGATGACATTTGCGCGGGAATTTAGTCCATTGACATCGTAATATAATTTACTTTGGATTGTAATTATCTTTAGATGTAATGTTACAGGATTTAATGTGAAATTATTTGTCTCTTCTTTTATAGTACACGAGTTTGACGTCAGGTTTGTACACATGAAGTCTCTAGTCTAAAAAAGCCAGTGACAGAAACGATAAACAGATAAGCAACTGTCTAGGGCCAAGTAAGGGAGGTGAAAAAGCCAGTATTACGCAGAACGATAAACAGTTACATAAACGGATCCAGGGGGTGGGGAAATATTTGTTGATTTTATAGGGAAGCAGGTGCGGATCCAACCATTTTATAAAAGGGGGTTCCAACTATGTGTCCCCATTCAAATGCGTTGATCGTCCAAAAAAAAGGGGGGGGTTCCAACCCTCGGAACCGTCCCCACGGATCCGCCACTGGGGAAGCATGACGGGAGTGGGCAACCCTTAGGTCAGTCAGCGGCCACCCTCCTTTTATGAAAAGTTGTGAATCCGCCACTGAGATTTATTTAAGCAGGTTTTCTTTGTGTAGATACCTTAAAATATCACCAACTGTGACTGAGTACACAATTTGATTCATTTTAGCTCATTAGCTGGGCTCACTCGCTAAAAAGGTTCATTGCGGGCCTGCTCACTGGCTAACATTTTACGATATTCATGACTCGTGAAGAAAAGCCGATACTCTATACATGTGTGTGAGGAGTAGTTATCAAGCTTGCTTTCGTCTGTAAAAACTGTCTTAGGCCAAGTTAGGGAGGTGAAAAAGCCAGTAATAGAACGATAAACAGATGATCAGGTTTTCTTCATATAGATCCCTTAAAATATCCCCCACTGAGGACACAATTTGATTCATTTTACCTCATTAGCTGCGCTCACTCGCCGTAATAGGTTCATTGCGGCTTACCGGCTAATATGTGCATAAAAGCTGATAACCTATACATACATGTACATGTATATAGTCAGATCATATGTTTTCGTTCGTTATATGAATTTGTACTATGCATGCCTTTTCAATGGAAATTGTGACAACAGTATGCATTCTTAATAGCACGAAAAACGATGAGAAGAGGATACATATGTCAACCAAAATTTTTCAGCAACGTCAAAATATGTGAGGACACCCTATCAAGATCTATTAAGCTTGCGTTCATGTTGCGTTAAAACTGTTTTAGGAAGGTGAAAAATACCAACAATATAACAATAAATAGATAATCGATATTGTAAGTGTTGAAAAGCCAATGGTCTACATATATACTTAAATATGTCAACCATAAAATAAAACTGATTTAATTTACACCACAACTGTTGAAAAAACCTTTATGTTTATATAACAGTTAAACTTATCTCATTCTAGTCCATTCAATTGACAGAATCAGTGTACATTTCATGAACTCTTTAATAACAATAATCATCATGGACTATTCTTTATAGCAATATCTGTAAGCCATTTAGGGATCTTTTGCATTCAAAGTTTAGTTTTAGTGGGTTTATTTTGCGAAAAAGAACTCAATTTCCAGATCAAAGTTAACATTTTCTATATATTTTGTTGTGTCAAAATGACCTAATGAATATAAAGGACAGTACCCATATAGACCCAAAAATGGTATATCACATTCTACACATGACATTTTAGCAGGAAAGACTGCCATTGGAGTATATAACTTTTAACCTGTGTATGTATAATTAAAATATAATAAAATTCATATCTTTTTCAGGACTTCTGATCGAACCATGTACATGTAGTATGGCATGTTTGTGAGATATGGTTTTGGTGGATAGGATGTTCATGAAGGACCTGTAGTACAAAGTATATCACTGGATTGAGCTCTTTGTCTAAGTGTATTATTAAAGTGCTTTGCTTTGAGCTCAGTTCATTGTTATGCAATTCATTCTTTGTGAAATAAAGATTTGACAGACAACTCTCATGTACAAGGATTTGTCAGGGTAGTATCCATTCTATGTACAATGTAAGTAATAAGGAGATAAAAGCATTTTATTATGATTTGAACCAAACATTTTTTGTCCTTTAACCAAATTTTAAAAAAAGAACAAATTTACCCGACAATGCTACACTCGCTACTAGCAATATGATGCTAGGTTGTTTTAATACATCTGTACTGCCTACTGATGACACGGTCCTGAGTGTAAATGGTCATTCAGTATGTTAAAAAAAAAAAAAAAAATTATAAGGCCTATCTGGCCTAATTGATTTCTAAAACTATATTTCATTGTACATGTTCAACATTTTTCATTCATTTGTTTATTTCTTAATTTGTGTGAATTAACATTGTTACAGTAAATGTTAATAACTACACTTTCATACCACAACAAATACTGTATTGGTATCACTTATATTTGTATCCATATAACAAAAAAAATTGAAAAGAGAATAATTTTGCAATACCTTTTTCATATTGAATACTATAACTTTTTTGATATTTAGACATATTAAGTAGATTTTCATAATACCCACTTGACATGCTTGAAATTCTATCAGATTACTTTTGGAGCAGTTATGAGTCTTTGAAGCATGCTCACAAAGGTTTTTTTGTTGATATCGTTTTCATATTGGTCAAAACTTTTTTTTTGCTTCGGCCAGCTTTGGAGGAGATGTTATCAAAGAATTGATAAAAAAACAACACAGAAGTTTACTTTCTAGCTCATCTAGCCCCAAGCATCATGTCAGGCATTTTCATTACTAAAAACCAATAAATGTCTTCTAATCTGAGAAACAATTACGACATTTTAACAAAATATTTTACTAATGATACTGACAATCCACCACAAAGTAATATAAATAGAACCATACAAATAGTGAGCAAATACATATAAAAAAGATGTGGTATGATTGCCAATGAGACAATTCTCCACAACAGACCAAAATGACACAGAAATTAACAACTACGGGTCACCGTACAGCCTTCAACAATGAGCAAAGCCCATAACGCATAGTCATTTATGTTATTTATGTACACAAAATAAACGAAAAACAAATATTATGTAACACATAGACAAACGACAACCACTGAATTGCAGCCTCCTGATATCATGTTCTCAGATATCATCTCCCATTTAAAAAAAAATCACATGAAAAAATGAACCTATTATGTGTTGCTCTCCTAGCTACAAAATTTATCCAAATTCAAAGATGTGGAAAATATTCTATCATAATCATTTGGTCATTAATGCAATTAGTGTCTCTTTCATGCCCTCTTGAACATAAAATCTAAATATTAAATAAACAACACTCTTCATGCTCAGGTTGGTTGTCATCGTGCAACACAGTTAATAACACCATATAGGAAAAACATAGAACTCCTTTTGTCATATAAAACACTGTCAAACATCCAAACATACTATCCACATTCATCTGTGTCCACACTTGTTTATATATAAAGTTAAATTCTGCTGGCAGTACGTCGACTTAGCATGCGCGAAAGCGTATAAGACGCGGATCGATAACGGTCTCCGAATTTGGTTATTTTCTCAAAAATTGGCGTTTTCTGTGGAAAAAAGATTGTTTCAAAGACAAATTTAAGAAGTACAAAACACTACATTTATACGTCATATCACAAATATTTCCGACTTTGAATGGTTTCAGAGGAGTTGCGGCTCAATGAAATCGGTCTCTTCCTTTAGTAGTATAGATTATACACCATGACTAAATGAAGTAGATGTAAAAAACTAAAGGGCAATGTACGGCCTTCAAAAATGAGAACAACCTATACCGTCTTAAGGCCCTGACATGAAAAAATGAAAAAAACCAACAACAGCCACTGAATGCAAGGTCCTGAGTTGATATAGGCACATAATTTATATTATATGGCGGAATTAGACATATTTGCGTTCTCAACCATTCAAACAACTTAAAACAGTGATTTAACTGCTCAACAAAAGAACAAACTGTAAAAAAATAACTTGGTTATGGCTGGAATCATGAGACCAACAGGAAACACAAGCATCATCTAACAGCCCTAGCAGTTTCTTTAACTTAAGATCGAAGCAAATTACAACTTACAAATGAATACGTTTCACAGACTAAAATACCAATCAGTACATATCCAACAGATTCAGTGTAAAGACATCATGAACAGTTAAAAAAAGCACGATCTTTTGCAATGTCAAAATAAAAGTATCGATATGATGTAGATCTATAAGTAAGTAAGCGTTCATAAATATATGGCAATACATGGTATTTAGCTATGTTTTAATTTATCAATAACAAACTAGATATTAATATCGATAAACATTATTCAGCTTTGTAAAATTGATACCCTTTATGTATAAGTTTATTCAAAGAATAAATAAGTTTATTGGTTCGTATTTAAATTTATTGGCTCCATTTTTATTAAACTTTACGATGTGACTATTTATTGTTTTAGGCAAGAACAATGTTCCAATAAAATAAAATTCTGCTGTATTTCAAATTTAATTAAAATCACTCATTCATCGATTGTCCCAATGGTTTATTTAACCTGATTTATATTAAAGTAAAAAGACAAAAGATTTTATGAAACAAAAAGCTTATTTTTCCAAGGAACTTCTTTCATTAGACAATAATATTAATAAAAAAATCTTCACGAAAATCACATTTTTGTCTAAGATACCATCTTTTTAGAGAACAATACAAACTGTGGAATAAAGACAATTCGAGACAATCATCATACATATTACATACATTGTATATGGGAAAAGTTATTGGGGAAAAAACTCAACAAAGATAGTTTGGTACGACATACTTGCGTTTTCGTCAATATGAGACTCATCTCTAATCAAAACAGGTTGGAAACCATATCAACTACAATCTAAGGAATTATAACATAATATTTATGACAACGGCTTACCTTTGTAGTGTACCTTTTTAGATTTAGATTTTGGTTTGACAACAGACGCATACTCGGCATTCGCAGGTTCTTTGGAATCTTCCTTTTCTATATGAAACAAATATTAAATCAATGTTCCAAACTTATAGATAAGGATAAGAGAAAAATTAACAAAAAATCGAATCTTCTTTGTCTTAGATCTGGTAAAAAAACCTAATAAATTATCTAGGAGTAATTATTATACGTTAGTAAGTTTTTCTTTATGTAATAGAATCTAATATTTGCGCTGTATACAAAAAGCTTTTTGCCAGTAATTAGTTCCAAAGGCTATAATAGAAAATTTACAATTCCTTCACATGTACATCGCCACTAGGCAATGTTGTCTTAGATAAGCATGATCACATGATACTATCATTTTACTTCTTCAAACTACACCGTTTTTACGATCCCCGGCAACAACCAGATTTGTCTTTTCGGGTTTGGTCTGTACGCTTATATTGTCTTATTTCCATGCCTGGACCATTCAAATAAATCACTACGAATAAAAAGCATTACTACAGTCGGAACATACAGGTAAAGCATATTACTAGGGCCGTATATACCCATGTATTATACCAGTCATGTTTGGAAATTAAATATAGTAGTTAAACCTATTTCACTTTCAAATTGGTAGTTACCCGTATTTCGCCGTTTGCTTTTCTGTTGTTCCTTATCAACTGCTGCATACAACACATTGCTTTCTTTTGGTTCTAAAATAAAACCTAATGCAGTTATGTTAATATGTTTGTTTTACTTTAAATTATTATGAAAGACATACAATGTTAAGTGGTAAGAATTACGTTCAATATCTGATTCAGGTCACCAGGTAACTTTCAAGCAAATTTAAAAAAAGTCTGTTTTGAACAATGTTTAAAGGTCACAGCTCACAGGTCCTTTTAAAGGAGACATCAGATTACAAGGTCGCTCGCAGAAACTCCCTACGGTCGCAGGTGGTATTTGAGCACGCTGAAGCCACAAACATAGACGCAGTAAATGAATGGAGCTATACTATATTGTTTTAAGTTGACATGTTAGATTTACTTTGCAATTCACTGGCAGGTAATTCGAAGCTGACCTTTGAGAATTTTGGCTATACGTTTTATGTCCGTGTCGTCCTTGTTGAAATCGGTATTGAAATGAAAATTTGAGTCTGCATTAAGGTCTGCATTAAGAATTCATGAATATGGGTATACTATTTGCGATTTTCCTTTTTCTTTCATTGAAAGGATTGAAATAATGATGAATGTAAATTAGATGTTGGCTGAAAGTTATTGAACAAACAAACAACACAAGCAACATATACAGAGGTCAAAAGGATGTCTTAAACAATGTTCAATCGTTTTTGCCGTATCACAAACGTTAGAATGTATAGAAACATCAGAGAGACAACAACATATGTTTAAACTCGTAATGCCTGACAAACAAATACTTAAAATCCGAACATGCTCAGAAAACATTGAAATTGATTGGTAAAAATATTGAATAAGAGGGTAAGCGAGGCTTTCCGAGCAATTATCTTGTTTTGTGTAACGAGTTTAAATATCTTTTCTTCTGTGTTTGTCTTTACTGTTAGTTGGTTTTATGACCTGTTATTGGTGGCAACCCCACTAGACTCAAGTCTTTTCGGTTTAAAGCTTACAATTTGGAAATATAAGGATTTTCTATTCCAGGAATAGACTACTTTAACTGTATTTGGCAAAACCTTTCGGAATTTTGGGTCTTCAATGCTCTTTAACTTCGTACTTTATTTTGCCTTTTTAACTTGTTTGATTCATGCGTCACTGATGAGTCTTTTGTAAACGAAACGCGCGTCTTGCGAACAAAATTCTAATCCTGGTATCTATAAGTTTATTAAAATTTGTGATACTTTATAGTAATGATAATATATTAAGCGGCCTCGACATTTTTTTCTGTGTTGTTTGGTTACGGTTTGACAGCATCACCTTTTCTATTACTCATAATCTAAATATGTTATATTTTAGTTACAAACCAGTTTTACTGCGTTTCTTTCTTTTGATGAAAAACACTAATAGAGTAATAACTATAATCAGAAGTACACCAACAACACCACAAGCAATCGGGATTGAATCGGAACCCGATTTCGATGGCGATGCTAAAGTAGGTTCCACTAAAATACAGATAAAAAGGAAATGAAAGAGTTGAAATGCATATACAAATATCAATCATGATTATACCAATTCTATCGCAAGATATATATAGCCAACCCAAGATTAGGCACAACTTATCAGATTTTTGCATTTTGGATTTCATTGCCTCCACTTTGTAATGAAACTGATCTACGACCTGTTTTGATTCGAGCCGCTCATTATTTAAAGGAAACACGCATCTTGTGTACTAAATAATAAGCTTGATATCTTTGATGATATTTAATTTCACTATATTAAAACAGTAAATTTAAAATATGCCTTAATTGATATGCATCGGAATCACTAGATAAACAGATTCCACTGAAAAGTATTCATATATATTATGATTTGACTAATCTTAAAAAGATAGTATTTACGTCACACAGATCCACATCCCCAATTATTTCAATTCTCATTAGCAACACAAAACTAAATCAATGAAACTTCTTATAATGTAAGTGTTAGCTGAGACAAGATAACTTTATGTCTTTTTGTGGAGATATTGACCACGATTAAAAAAGCAATTGTTAGTTATCATACTTATCCTTTAACTTTCCTTTGAAGACATTTCATAATTTAACGAACAAATAAAACTAGTATCATTCCATTCAAAATTATTGACGAATATCTAACATTTAATGCATTCGGATACCGTCCTGTATTTCACATTATTAGTATGTTTATTAAATCAAAACAAAAAAGTTATTAGTAGCGTTTCACAGGTAGGCACACGTTTATGAGCGAGAAAGTCATATATCGTTCACACGGACTCACGTCCGTCTTTATTCATATTAACTACAGTTTTTGAAAAAAATCTTCTCCCTTAACACCCCTCCCCCAAAACAACCTTCACAAACAAAACCAATCAAACCATAAAGAACTCCCCGAGAAAACCCCTAAAAAATATGTAGACCCCCAAAAAAACAGAGAACAATATTAAAAGAAAAAACAACCAAAACCAAGAACAAGAAAAAATACAATCAAATGACCCACTCCCCCAAAAACATTAAGGGAAGAAGAGGAACAAGCAACTATTTTGAAAAATCCATTTGGTTCATAAGCTAACCTTTTGTTTTGAAATCCAGTGATGCACTCCTGTTTCCATGTTTGTTTGTTGACCTTACGATTACGTGATATTGCTTGTTTGCTGCAAGATGATCCAATGTGTAGTATACCTTACTCCCCGTCGTAGACTCTCCAGTATGTACTTCTTCCCTTGTTTCCCAGTTGTCATTATCTGTAGCTTTAAAAAGGACGGAAAATGTTTGCTTGTGTCCGCCATTAAACCCAACAATCCAGGATAAGTTTACTGATCTGAATGTTATTGTCTCGACTGAAACATTTGTCGGTGCTTCTGGCTTATCTGAAATTAGGAATTAAATTACTATGGAAAAATCTATGGATTTCTTAAAAGTAAACGGAAATCTACTTTATTCTTTCTCAATCACCAACTCATGAAGTATCCTAAGATATGTATTAGGACATACTTTAAGAGTATATAATGACCTTCCTGTGATTCATCTAAGACTGTAAATCAAAACAGTATTAAGATAGACCTAATCGGAGTACTGTCCTTATCTATGATAAGTTGTTTTAAAAGCATTCTTTCCAATTCTACATATTAAACATAATGCATTTAGTTTAAATTCAAATAGTAATACCAAGATAATTACAATAAAAGTAATAATTGTATCACGTTTATCCTTGTGATAACCTTTTTTCATAGATGATCTTATAGATTCAAAAAAACCAATAATCAGATAAGTGGACTTATAGGGAGCTGATATGGGCTTTCTGTGTAATTGCAATGGGAAAGTCATATCTAAGCAAGTGCTAAATGTCTTAGTTTTAGGAACCTGATTATGTTTTGCTCTGCATTCGAATATGCCTTTCCAATGGCTATATTAGAAGTAAAATCTCGTATTGAATATGCATGAAATATCTGCCACTTGACAAACTAAGCCAACACTAAACGAATTAAGGTCTCATTGAACAATCAACAGTTTTCTTTTCTTTTGGTGTTTGTTTTTACTCTCCTTTTTTAGGATCTTCATTTGATTACTTACATATATGCTATTTACAAACAAAAGATGTTGCTAATATACATGAGATAGATTATAACATAAACTGAAATTACAACGAGCAATCTTACCAAATGATACCCCGCCCTCAAAAAAAAAAGAAATAACCACGTTCATGAAGTGCTTCAGGAATTTTCACACCCTGAAAATATTTTGGATCAAAAACAAAAAAGCAGATGCACAATGGCATTCTATGGGTTAGATTCTGAGAGAAAGATTCAATAAATTTTTTTCAAGGATTTAGGAGGATCACAAATAGAGTATATGACAAAGATTCGGAGAAAGATTAATTAAAGTTTTATCAGGAGTTTGAGAGCAGACTGTATACAAATGTTCATTTTAGTGTGCAGTCATGCCAAAACTAACCCTCACCATCATTCTGATGAAGAAATTAAATAAGAGGTGGAAAAGAACATCATGTGATTACAATTCTATGAAAGTGACACAAAATTATGTCAAGCGGTGAAGGAACAGTTGCGGATATACACGTTAAACGGAAGAACGAGTGGACAGATGAATTAACTAATGGACGGACAAACTCCCCTATTACTACATAGTTCCCAATACAGAAATTTTTAAAGGGATCTAATAAATCAACGCTCGTGAGATTGATAGTTGAATGAAGATTATACTTTTTGCTGACAAGAATACAGCAACTAATTATTACAATGTACGTAGGACTAAACGTCAGGACTATCAGTATCGTGTTAATGAAAAGATTCGGTTCATTGCATCAATACATAGAAGATGTATATAATTCTTTTAAACGTCTGCAAAAATAGGCAGGTTTCGAAGTCTTGATCAAGTTATAAATTTTAAACTTAAAAGAAAATATTAAGCATTAAGACAACACCAAATACCCTAAGTACCATAAGTCACTGACATGATTCATAACAGACATTTCTTCAATTTCTCGTTGATACATTTACAAATTATTACGAAACATAGTTTCCATCTTATTCAGGCAAAATAAGCTATAGACAAATAAAGACAAATGATTTTAGGCTATAATTCCTTTTTGTTACATGTGTACTTTGGCTTTTAATTGTGTGGGTTTGAGATGTCCTGGTGAAGGTATATCCATAAAAAAGCGTTTCGGACGCACCAGTTTAATAAAATGTCATTGTTGTTCTGTTATTAGGCTAAGTCTATAGTGAATAGGTGTCTCATAGGCAAATTATGAATGATAACTCATCTTCTTTTTTTATAAGGTAACTGTAAATGAATTGCAGTTAAATATTTTGATGTGTATAAAATAAGCAAATCTTGATTCTAAAATGGGAATTATTTGTTGCATTTTATTTAAATGAAGACATTAAACTGACTTTATCTTATTGTTTTAAGAATTTTAACAAATAACAGAAAATGTTAAAAAAAAAAATTACCGGGATCTCAGATAATCTAGATTTATGATAGATTGTTTTTATTTTTATTTTGTTTTTTTAGAAAATAAATGGATATGGTGTTTTCATTTTATTTCTGACCAAGAGCTTATTTTTCGTATCGTATTTTGAAATTTTTACCATTTAGTTTACTGTCAAGTAAATAATTTTCATCTATCTTTCATTTTTGTGATGATCATGATATAAAGTATTTGTAGCTAATTATAGAAGTAGTAGTAGTAGAGGTAGTATTAGTACTGTATTTATGCTTATTTGTATAGGAATCTTATGTTAAAGTCTGGAAAAAATAAATTCTCTGCTGTTGTATGTCAGTTGCTAATGGTGCAATATTTTTTACATGTATTTATATAATCAAATATTTATTGACTTGCAAACAAAAAATAAAAATACCTTCCGGTGTCAAAGTGATATTTTCCTCAATACATCCTAATTTGTTACATATCTTTAATCCATACACACCAAGGTCCTTTTCCGATTCAATATGTATTTCTGATTCAATTTTATATCTGTAATCATATCTTTCTTTCGTAACAGTCCAATCGGACCGAGTCACACGACACCACTCTACAGTTGGCAACGGGAACGATACTACATGCATTACTATGTTTTCAGTTGTATCCACTTTTGTTCCTATTTGTCTTGATTTTGCTGTGGCATTCCTAGGTTTACCTGAAATACATTTTTTAATTGTTAAACAATAACTTAGATATACATTGTCTCTTCATATTCCATTTTTCAAACTACCATAAACATTTATTTTGTCATTTAAGGTACTATAATCTAAAATCTTTTGAATTCATGGACTTTCGGAATTTTAATTTGTCTTTCATGATTTTACCATTTTATTCCGCAAAAAATATGCCATACCAACTTGTTCTCTAATAATAAGGTAAAGGTCTAAAATATATACTTAGAAGTATCTGCGTATTACTTTAAATCAATATCGATTTTTTTAAAAGACGTCATCCCTTGGTCCTTTATAATTGTTATGTAAAAAATGTTAAAATTGGCCGTCGATTTTGAATCTTTTTTTTTATTATGACGGTCAGATCTGGACATCGATTTGAGGAACGGGCGTCGATTAGAGACCGGACGTCTATATCAGTCTTATATGTATACTCCTGCAACTGTATTTACAATATTATTGTTTCTAATTATACTCCTGTAACTGTACTAATAACATAGTTTTTGTGATATACATTCCTGCAACTGTACTTACAATATATGTTTATGTTGACCGTTCTGGTATCTTCATTTCCTATCCCATTTACAGCTCGTATTGTAAAATTTCCTGAATCTTCACACTTAAGAGAAGGTAAATTAGAAATGTAATCAGTATACTCGTTGCCCTTATCTGATTGGTGAATCGCCAACAAAGAGGAGTTAAACATTATTTTCGGATCTGGATTACTTTCAATACGCAGTGTCATCTTCAAATATACATCTTCATTGAAATGGAAGGTGTTTGAGGTACCAAAACTGTAAATCTTACTTGTATTGCTAAACCAAATGTTTGTTATTTTAGGAGAATCTGAAACAAAGTATATAATACTTCAATATGGTATGTATGCAATGAACTATATTTCAATTTAGTATACTGACGTGATTAATATTATGCAGTTGGTATGTGCATTTAGAGGTTACAAGAAGTTGCATGTGTTACCGTGCTAAGCATAAATCATCTCTTAATTCACATATCGGAATACAGAAAAAAGGTGGCTGATAGGTGTCTGAAATATCTGAAAAGTGATCACACGTTACAAATAATCACTACAAAGCTGCTGTCCAACTATGAATTCATTACATCTTATAACATTTTTCATTCAATATATTGAACAATTCAAAGTATCGGGAAACAGACTTTTACAACTTATCACTGCCAAGCGTTGGTTGCTTTAATCTACAGTTGGAACCAGTTCTCACCTCTCGTAACATCTGTCAGGAACTGTTAAGAGAAATGTTTTAAAACAGCCACTTATGCATTGTTTCTGCTAGAAGTGGTTTTACCCTAGAACAATTTGGACAGTTCTAACTTAGAACAGTTTTGGACAACTCATATATTGTTTATTCAATCTATCTATATATCTATTTAATTTATTATTTAATTTAATTAAATTTTTTTCCACTCAATTCATTTATTTAATTTATTCATTTAATTTATTCATTTAATTAATTCAATTTATTTCTTTAATTTCTTTGATGTATTTTATCAATTTATAGAATGATGTTCATTACAGCTAAAGAGAACTATCTTGATAACGTCCTGAAGTTGTCTATTAACTGACTTGGGTGATCGCAATTGTAACTGAAATCGACAACAATGGTCTTATGTGTAGGCCTCCGAAGGAACAATCAAATGTTATAAACACGTTCCGAGTCGTAGATTTTGTACGTGGACTATAGAATGTCAAATTATACTTTTCTTTACTCGTTAGATTGAATTGATCAACTTATAAATTTTAAAATTATAAAGAAACTAAGGTTTTAACTCCCACAGGCAAAGTTGCCCTTAGACGGATTTGGCTATTATTTTGTCCTGTTTGGCCATATAGCTCTTCAACTGTTGCGGTTATTATACATCCTTGGCTTTCAAATATTTAGCTTTGAGTATTCCTGATGAAGGTAAATCCAGAAAAGCGATTCGAACGCATGGAATTTATAACGTGTTGATTTCAATTTATAAACCATTAAAATTACACAAGTCAACATTTAATGAGTTAGATAAAAGTGTTGTTACACAAGTCAGCGACGGACGTTTTGAAACATTACGCTGTTATCTTGCCCTGTGATAATAGGAAAACGTCTTTCCTCTGGGCCTGCCTATTATTTTTTACAACAAAAAATCTGAAAGATTACGCAAACGCCATTATATGGAAACGTTGTTTACACATCGGCTAAATATTTATCGATCCCTGAAAATGACGACACAAAATTGTGGGTAGTTATACAGTTTAGACTGCAGGAACCTTTTTTCTAAGGTCTTGTACGTTTCATGGTTGTAAAATAACACAGAGAAGATGTATTGATGTTTATAAATATTTATTTGCTTGATCTTTTAAAACGTAAGGAAATTAATTTCAAGAATAACTTGCTGGGTTGTAACATGAAAAGATCGTTGTATACCGCATCAAAATGTTCTAAAATCAAATTGCCATACAAGCACCGAGACTTTTAATAAATTTTATGACTGGTTTGTCCTTTACCTCCTTTAATTAAATTAAAATCCTGAAATCACACTACATATACATTTGTACAAACCATCGACTAATTCAACATGTTTGAAAATCTGTATAAATTTTAAACATACTTTTCAACCGATTGGTATTTTCGAAACAGCTTTTTGTAACATTGAAATTTAATTTCCTTCCTGCCACCTCTTAAATATATAGAAATATGGTCACATAGAGTACTCCCCATGTGGATGTTCCCTTAAAAGAAATGCACTTGTCAGCAATGTTATATAGACTATTCGTATTTGAACAATTTTCTCCGATGCATGTGTTTTGAAAGCGCAATGCTTGAAACACGAAATCAAACCATTGCTATTATTCCACCTCTTTGAGGTTAACAAGTCAACATGAAGTTTCTGATCTTTTCTATGAAACCCTTTTTATAGATTTCTGAAATTCTCCCGTAATTCTTGTAGATCCGCTTAAAAAAACCGCTGTCTGTCCATCCGTCAGTCCGTCCATCTGTCCCATGAATATTTTTCCAAGGATTTCTGAAATTTGGTTTTAGGGTTTATATATAAGTCCGTTATACCGTGTAATGCGATTTCAGATTCATCACTCAACAACTTCCTGTTTACCGAACACTTGTATCATTTTACACATGATAGCAAAGTTGAAAATTTTCGTCCCATTTTTCTTAGGAACTACAATACAAGTATTTCTGAAATATGGTTTCAGGCATTATATAAGTCTGCTATACCGTGTGATGCGTTTTCAGATTCATCACTTAACAACTTCCTGTTTACCTTATACTTTTAGTGGGGCGGGGGTATCATTAATGAACAGAATTAAGCTCACAGATTCACTTGTGTAATTTGTTCTTGTCCAATATGCATACGATATATTTGATGCATTTACGAAAGTAACGTCGATCAGTCTGATTACACCGTATAAACAAATGTTTTAAAAAACGTCGTACATGTACCAGACGTGTCATAGTAGATAGAATAAAATCTGTTTATCCTTTTTCTATTTCACTATATTATTAACATGATTATAAAATGTACGATTAGAGTGCATTAAAAGAGGGACGAAAGATACCAGAGGGACAGTCAAACTCATAGATCGAAAACAAACTGACAACACCATGGCCAAAATTTAAAAGACAAACAGACAAATAATAGTACAGATGACACAACATAGAAAACTAAAGACTAAGCAACACGAACCCCACCAAAAACTGGGGGTGATCTCAGGTGCTCCGGAAAGGTAAGCAGATCCTGCTCCACATGTGGCACCCGTCGTGTTGCTTATGTTATTACCAATCCGGTAAATAGTCTAATTTGGTAAGTCACATTCGTGAAAAGGGAAGGGTATTGTAGTTACGACATAAGGAACATATCCGATATCATCTGTGAAACGGTTATTCCATAACGGTAAACCAACTCGTGATGGCGTCCGTAAAATTTACGAAGGGATGATTTCAACTTCACCATTTGCAACTCTTGGCTTAATAGCTTCCATGTGGAGCAATCCTCTATCAAGGAAATCATGATAGGAAACACAAGCCCGGGAATATCGTATCAATTGGGAGATGTATACTCCGTATGCAGGCGCTGCTGGAATGTTGCTACATAGAAATGGAAAGTTCACAATTGGGAAGCTGGAATCATCTCTTTTGTCGTAAAGTTTTGTTTTCAACCGACCCTCATTGTCAATTTCTAGATGTAAGTCAAGATATGAGGCAGACTTAACTGTATCTGTAGTATCCTTTATCTCTAGTTCGATGGGATAGATTCGTTCAACATAGTCACCAAATGTTGTATTATTTAGTGAGAGAACATCATCTATATAGCGAAACGTAGAGTTAAAGGATATTACTAACTTCTTATCTTTCTTCCTAAGAAGTTCCTGTATGAAGTCAGCCTCATAATAATAAAGAAACACTTTATTTGATTTCAGCATTTTGGGACATTAGATGCAAGGCTTAAATATCGTACGCCAAACGCTTGTTTCATCTACACAAGACTCATCAGTGACGCTCGAATGACATACATCCAAAAGGCCAAATAAAGTACAAAGTTATATATACCCCTCCACACCAAGAAAACAAACAAAACCAAACAACGAAATATATTTTGCCCCCTCCAAAAACCAAAATAAGCTATTAAAATATGAATAACAGATTAAAGAACAAAATTCAACGAGGTATGAAAATGAAATAAGAAAGAGTAATCAGACAAACGTAAATACAACATGTATAAATATGAAATCAATAAAATAAGGAAAAAAATATATAAATATAAAAAAAGCTGTTGCTCTTTTTTATGAGAAACAACAGTTCATGAAAAGTTGTTGAGTTTTTGTCTCGTTTTAAATTTTTTGATTCACATATTTTGGAAATCAAATTTTTCAGTTCATTTTCGTGCTCATTACAGTAATGTGATATTCGAGTAATTTCAAGTATTGATCACGTGACACAATATTTTTTTCATTTAC